CCAGGCCCTGTACATCTGGACTCTGTGTCTACGAACCATCGGAATCCCCACCCCAACGTGGGGGCAGGACTGATGTTCTGAGTGGCTGGTGAGTATTTACATGGCCTCCTCTGAGAGCAGTGCTAGGGCTTCCTCATCATATCAACGGGCACTGACAGCAGCTGAAGAGTAATTTTACTCTGGCTCCTAGGACGAGCACCAGCTATAGCAGCTCTGATCCTTCTCAAAGCTGGGCTGTATCTTCTTCCTGGAGGTCTAAGGAATTTGTTCTCCTTTTTTTTTTTTAATGGTAACGAGAAAGCTACACTGAGCATCAAGAGTGAGGAAATTTGTAAACCTGGAAGCTCAACAGGCAGAATTAGAGGCAAAGGAAATGGAAGACAGAGATTGAGAAGAAAGAACGGAAACATGCCAAGTGCTGCTTCCGGGCCAGGCTGGAGTTTTATGACAGGATGTCTTCGTGCTCCAAGTGTTGGGCTTGGCTTGACTGTCCTCTGTGGATGGGTGTGCTGTGTGTCAGGTGAAGTTGTCAGCGTTTGCAAAACCAATTAAAGTGGCATTAGTGTGCCCACATGCGCGTGCGTGCACACACACACACACACACACATACATGTGCCAAGCTGCCCATGTGGTGTTTACGCCCAATTTCTGGCAGTTATTCAAGCCCAAACACTCATTTAGAAAAAGGTTATTTGAGCAAACTCTCAAAACAGAAATTTGTTCTTTAATTATTTTTATTTTATTGGAAACTTCAAGGCATCAATCAGTTCAAATATTGGTTCAAAGTGTAGAAAAGTAAATTTTCCTTTCTATTTGTAATAGGCTTGTAAAAATTATTTTTGCCACTCTTGTGAACTATTATTAAGTTCTAGGTACTGCCACAGGTGTTAAACACAGGAAAAGAGAAGATGTAAACAAGGAATAAATTAGTGTGATATATTGCTTTTTAAGTATGGAACATGTCCCCAAATTATATAATACAAAGAATGGGACATGGAGGTGACTAAAATTATTTTGTAACAACAGTTGGGAAAAAATTTTTTTTCCTTAATTTATAACAATGTCTGATCTTGATTTCACATTATTCGGGGGCCTGAACACGCTTGCACAATGGGAAAATATTTTGGGAAGTCTATTTTAGGCCATGGCAAAGTGGCTTTTGGGGGGACTCACTCTCCTGCTAATAATAATTATAAATTCTGAATTAAATATTAAAAATAATAGTTTAAGATGTCAGAGCTGAAACAAAAGCAGACAGAATCTAGGAGGTCATGATCCTTGAAACGAGAGAAGCAAACCCGTGCATGCAGTTCAGACAGGTTCACCTCACTGGCTCCCCCAGGGCTCCTGCTGGCTCCCCAAAACACTCATCCCCAGAGCTCGTGATGACAATTACCTGTTCCTTTCTGACTTTACATTTGTCCTGGGTTTTTCCTATTTCATACACCCCCAGTGTACAGTAGAGTATATTTTTGTTACTTTCCTTGTGTTCCTTTAGGACGGGGCACGCTATATGTCTAGACATTAGTATATGAGAAAGTGAAGTAATGCTGATGGTGTGATGGGTCTTCCTCTGGAGCTACATTCCTGCTCTGGCACCACCTGCTTGCTGGGGGACCTCAGGCAAGTTTATTTGAGCCTCAAGTCCCTGATTTTTGAAAGGGTGGACTCACAGGGCTGATATGAGGATTAAAGGAGAGACTAGGGTTCAAGTGCACACACCCAGATGGTGGTAGGGAGGCATCTTGGTCAGCGGAAACGAGGGCTTGGGACCGAGGGTGTGAGTTAAAGCCCAGGCTCCCCCCTCGCTGGCTGGGGCTGTGTGAGCCGCTCAGCCTCTGTGAATCTTGGTTTCATTTGTTAAATAGGAGTACAACGTGTTTCACAGGATTCTGCACAGGTCAAGTTAGAGAAGATCTGAGGCACGTCCAGTGAAGAGTGGGGTGCACCAGGCGCTCAGTCCTGGATCTCCCTGTCCCTCCTGCCACAGCATCATTGTCGGGGCTCACCTCGGACCCCAGGGCCTCACCACAGCATTGTTGTCGGGGCTCACCTCGGACCCCAGGGCCTCGCCACACATCGTTGTTGGGGCTCACCTTGGACCTGAGGGCCACGCCACAGTGTTGTCCGGTCTCACCTTGGACCCCAGGGCCTCGGCCACGGTCTTGGCTCTTGCAGATGCTAGGCAACTCCAGGCTGCAGAGCTCTGGTCAGGTCGCTGGTGTAAATGGGTCCTGGGTACTGAGATCTAGGGGCCATTCTCCTGCAGTGAGAGGTGGGGAGGATATAGAACAGTACAGGCCGGGAGACCATGGACAGCGGTGTGTTCACAGGGGTCTCCCCTGTGAACCAGCCAGATCCCAGGCCCTGGGGGCAAAGTTGGACCACGGTGGATCTCAGGACTCCAGCCCAGTGGGCTGCAGGTTAAGGCCAAATGCCAGTTCTGGGCAGGAACAGCATAGCAGGCAGGGCTGGCTCTTCCTGAGCCCTGGTCAGGGCAGTGGGCGGGTTCTGGCCCTGAGGGTGGGGTGCAGGAGGGCCTCCTCCACCCCGCCCTCCCCACACCCCTCCCCTACCTTCCTCGCTCCATCTGTGGTCAGGTCAGAGCTGCAGGGTCATCTGTGTGTCCGTGGTTCCCACCCTTGTATCCCTGGCCCCGGCCTCGGCACCAAACAGCACAGATGGCTGCGTTTAGCAGCCCCCTCGCCATGTCCCAGCTGAGCACCAACCGTGTCCTCAGGCTCTTCCTGGGCTTCTCAGCGGTGGGTGGCTCAGGTCCAGACAAGTGTCCCCTCCACTCCCCTTCTTCTTAGACACCCCAGTTCAGACCTGGCAAGCTTCCCTAGGGCTCCCCGGAGTCCACAGTGCACTTCCTCCACCATCTTCACCGTGACTGGTTATGATTCTAGAATTTTCCTAAATGATGGGGAATTGGTCAGTGGTGACCTCATAGCATCCTCAGGAGACAAGTTTAAGTTTTGCTCACGATTCCATAGACAGAGTCAAGGAGTCAAGTGATTCTCACAAAAGCAGCAGAACGAAGCTCGGCTTGTGTGACTACACTGCTTTGTCTGCTCAGGAGGTTTTCAGAGCTGGTCTTCCTAAGTGCTGATTTTAACAAGCTGCAAGTGGACACTGGGTCTGAGGGATGACTCTGTCAGCAGGCGGCCCGTGTATTTAAGCTGGGTGCCAGTGCCCCTGAGTCCTCCTCGCCCCCCACCCTGTGGCGTAGCCATGCACGGGCGCCCAACTGGTCATCCCAGGGCAGCTTGCCCAAGACCCCAGTCCACCCCACATCAAGATTGTCTTCTGGTCTCAGGAGCTTCTGTCCAGCAAGCCTGAGAGTTAGCCTCAGGGGCCCTGGAACCTTGGGTTAAAGGCCCCTTGGGGGCTCAGTGTGGCCCCGGAAAGATCATTCATTCCCTGTTCACCACCCGCAGTGACTAAGGGCTGGACTTGGTGGTTGGGCAGTCAGGTCGGAACTCCGCTTCCAAGTCTGATGAGCTGTGTGACCACAGAAAGCTGACTCAGTGGCTCTGTGCCTCATTTCCCCTTATGTGAAACAGTCAGTGATGGTGCTTGTACAGAGAGCTGGTGTGTGAGTCAAATTATTGACAATTTGTAAAGACACTCTAAAAGTGTCTGGCTCACAGACACTGCTGTCTGAACGTAGCTGAATACACTGATTCATTTGACTGGTACTGATTAAGCCTGGCTTATGGGCAAGCAGTGTACTAGATGCTGACGACATAACAGTTCAGTGGCTTAACCAGGTCAGCGGTTGCATGGACTGTCCGGTGCCACAGGGCCCAGGCTAATCCCCTCGAGACAAAGGCCCTCGAGGTGGCTCCGAGTGTGTGGGCAGGAGGGTACCTCTGCTAGCAGAGTCCAGTTACGGCGTCTGCAGCTGGGGGTCTCCAGGCTGAGCCCAGAGGGTTCAGGCCAGGACATCAGAACTACCAGTTGCCTTCCTGTTAAGGTCTCAACACTTTCACTATTCAAGGTGAAAACATTAGTTTTGTTATTAATCTGTTTTCAGCAAAGCCACATGAATGATATTTAAAAGCTGCTTTATGTTTATCTTTGTCGTAACAAGTTTAGCTCGTTTGATTACCCCATTTACCACCTGGAAGGGTGACTTGGCAGCGAGCTCGCACATACGCCATACTCACTGGATGTGTGGGTGGCTGAGGGACAGGGTCCAGGCCTTTGGACTTCCAGGAGCGCTGGACTTCGCAGCGGGGCAGAGAGCTGCCTGAGGGAAGTCACACAGAAGCCTTGTGCCGTGGGTGTGGGCTTGTTTGCCTGATAAAGTTGTTTGATCAGCTGTTGGCTCCATTCTCAGATTTTACCTGACGAGAGTAAGCGGCTTTCCCTGGGTTTAGGCAGTTGTTTCTGCTGTATCATAAAGTCTCAGCGGTGGAGTGTTTTCTGTAGCCCCCCTGCACCCCGCTTTGTCTCTGGGGAGAGTCACGTGCGGCTGCAAGGAGCAGGCACCCAGTTTCACCAGGCAGCTGTCCTCCTGTCTGTCCCTGCAGCCAAGCTGGCTCATTTGGGGTCAGGCACTGCCAGACTATTCCATGGGACAGGTGCCTGGGTGCACCCCCTCGAGGCGCCCCCCCACTGCTGTTAGCTGGAGGTCCGGAGCTGAGGATGGAGCTGTGAAAGGGGGGACCCCAAGCAGCACAGAGTAAGTGTTGCCCCCGGCCTCACCAGCTTCCCACTGGCTGATCTCCGCTGTCCTTCTCAGAGGCCTGGGGCAGTGCTGCCGGAGCGGGAAACATCAGGAGGGAGATACAGTCTGCCCTCGAGGGGCTGTGGGAAGTAAGCTGGACCTGGGGGACTCCCGAGTCATACTGAACAAGCTGCCAGAACAGTTTCTGGGGATGCAGGGAGGGACTGCCAGGTGCGTGGGTCCTAACGTCTCATACCAGATCTGCGTGACCTACAGCTACGTGACTAATCCCCACACAAAGGCTCCTTTTAGGTATGAAGTTTGGTCACAGTTCCTGGCACAGACTCTGCTGCAGGATGTACTTTTCATCAATCAGAACTATAGCAACAAGGCAGCAAAGTAGGGAGACCAATCCCAATATAAAGAGGCCTGGAGACAAGCCTTTTGGCTTTGAAGTGCCCTGGTGGTCAGAAGTCACCAGAAAGCATGCTGGGCACCCTGGGGAGTGTCCTTCACCAGGCTCATGGTCTGAGGAGCCCTGGTCACTGGACACCCTGGTGCACTGGCACCATAAGCTCGGGAACTGGCTATTGGCCCATCCACTCTCCTGAGAAAGGGCCCGGGAGCCCGGCCGTGTGTCCAGGGATGTGTGGTCTGGACACATACCTGATCCCGGGAAGCCAGGCCCCAGCCGGCGGAGTGGAGGCTGAATGGATGCTTGGAGCCTTGTGCTGCCTCTGGGTCTCTCTTCCCTCAAGTCACAGTGCTCATGAGTCCATCCAGATGGGCCTGGTGGCCGAGTAGAGGGCCCATGGTCTGGGCACACAGATACCAGGGGGGGGGTTTCACGTGCTAGTTCTTGTCCCTCAAAGGCTGGCATATAGCTCAGGTTCTGCATGACTGTGCTGATTCTCTCACTACACGTTGAACTGAGACTCCCTGATGAGAAGCTAGGCATTCTACACGCTCCGTGACAATGCTCAGGGCATGACCATGTGCCCTCAAGAGGTTTCCATACAGAGTTGATTTGCAGTGGTCTGTGTGCGAGTACCTCTTTCCAGGGCTTTGAGGATGGGTCGCTCGACACGGCTCTCATAGCTGTGAGTGCAGGGCTTGTCAGCAGCTCAAGAGTTTAGTGTTTTAGGTGAATATGATTTCAGATTCACGGCTGAATCATAAAAATATCAAGGATCTGTCCACTTCTCATTAACAGGATGTATGAAGTCCTCTGAGGTTTTTCTCTGACAGGGATATTTTGAATGCACTTTCTCTTTATCAAGGTTTTGTTTCTGGTTTCTCCAGTGGTTCCTCTTCTTTTCTATTGAACAAGGAGACTTCAACTGTTCTTTGTAAAACCAAGAAAATTATGTATCAGATATCTTACATTATCATCATTAAAAAAAAAACCACTGTCCCCTCCATATACTGTCTATATACATGACTAAGTTATGGGACAGCTAAGAAGATGCTGGCCTTCAGCAGGGCCTGGGGTCCTGTCACTTGGAGCACCTTTGGGAAGAAGCAAGCCTCTGGTCTTGGTTTAGTGCCACATCACAAGCTTGTTGAGAATATTACTGATACTAAAAAGTAAAGCACTTTGTTACAGTCTTACACAACTGGTAAGAAATTGTTTTATTATTGCGTAGAGCTAAGAACTAAAGAAAGGATATTTGCTATTTAGAGCAAAGGATTGGTTGAATTTATCTAAATATAATAGTTCTTAAGGTGGAGGAATGGACCATATAAGAGTGAGGGGGGAAGGCTGAGGGACACACAGGTACCTGAGGAAGAGAGAGGGATGTGAGCACGGCTCTGTGCGTCTCAGGAACGGTGGGCACAGCTGTCTGGGGTTAAGCAAATGATCCTGACGAGTCTAATCACCTTGAAAGCTTCCTTCGGAAGTGCCACAGACTCAGGAGGCACACTTGTAACACCCATGACACAAAAAAAGGGCAGTACAGCTAGTGACAGATGAGAGAATCCTGACTCTCTAGAATTACTTTCTGTGTTGGAATTTGGGGAGTGTAGGAGACATTTTCACATAAGAATGAGAGGACTTGTTAAAAGGATCTGAGAAGTCGAGGGGCACGGAGATAATGCAGGGGCAGAGCAGCTGCTGGTGGACAGCAGGGACATGGGGGGCCACCCGGCTTCAAGCCCCACTGCTGCCCCTTAGCTGTGACAGGCTAGTGGCAGCCTTGCTGGGCCTCGGTTCCCCGCCCACTCACAGCGTTGCTGTAGGGCTGAAACGAGTTTACACGTGGGCAGGTGCTTTGAACAGTGCACCACACCTGGTCACACACAGGTACAGTTTCCCGCAGGATGTGGTCCTGGGCTCTACAAGGGAGTGGCCAACCCTTAGCAGGTTATGGAGGCCAGTGTCCCAGCCTTCTTCTCCGTCCACTCCAGAGGGCAGCCGTGGAGCCAACCACAGCCCTCTGCCTTGAGTGGGCTTTTCCTGCCCTGTCCCTCATCTGTGGGGTTTTGCAGGTTTTGGGGGCCATCTCCTTCCTCCTGACCTCATCTCACCCGCGGCCTGTTTTGCACTGGCAGCGGGAGGGGAAGGACTGCCCCCCTTCACAGGGCCCCAAGGATGGACCCATCTGCAGTCTGATTCTCAGAGAGTCTGTGCTGCAAATACGGAATTGTGCCCGCGGACAGAGCACAACTGACTTGGAAGGGTCTGGTCCACACAGGCATTTGGGGCCACCCCCGGCAGGCAGAGCAAAGGTGGTGGTGGTGGGGCAAAGTTCCAGGTGGAGTTCGCTGGGGCAAGGCAGTGGGCAGGTCAGTCTGCCACGATCCGGGGCGCAGAGATGCTAAGACAAGAGCCAGAGTCACCGAGGCGGAGGGATAGATGGGGGGCTTCTGAGGAAGAGGGACAAAAGGCCTGCGGCTGGCCTGGGTTGGGGGAAGGCTGGCAGCTCTGGTGGGGCCAAGATGGGGTGGTGGTGTAGGGTCGCCAGGGGGGCCTCGCGGGGGAGGAGAGGCGTCCCTGGTCGCACACGGCTGGGCCTCCACGGCCTTTATTTAATAAGATTCAGCAGGGGACTTCCCTGGCGGTCCGATGGTTAAGACTGAGCTTTCAGTGCAGGGGCGGATGTTCCATCCTTGGTGGGGAAGCTAAGACACCACCCGCCTCACCGATCAAAAATTTAAAAACAAGGAAGGACTCATCGCGCTCACCGGGGAAGAAGCGACGTGAGCGCGCAAAGAGCCGACCCGCGCGCCCCCCACCTCCCTCTCACCCAGCCAGAGCCCGCGCCCGCGCCCCAAGACCCCCCGATCCGGAGACCTCAGACCCTCCGATCTCCGGAGACCCCAGACTCCCCGATCCGGAGACCCCAGACTCCCCGATCCGGAGACCCCAGACTCTCCGAGCCCCTTGGAGCCCTCCGAGCCCCTCTGAATCACCCCCGCTCCCAGGCTCCCAAAGGCCTCCCAGACCTCTGGCCCAGGTCAGCCAGGTCCTGGACCCGGCTGGGTAGCACAGATCCCCGGGGAGGCCTCTCAAGACCCTCTCCTTTCCGCTGTGGGGACTGGACCTCATCGCCGCCTTCTCTGCGCAGTCCTCCTCCCGCCGCGCGCGCCCTCCGCCAGGGCCCCGCGACCCCTCCTCCGGCCAGGCGAGGGCGCCGTGCGACCCCGAGGCGATGCGTGGGGAGCAGGGAGGGCCGGAACTAACGCACCGCAGGCGGAAGTCTCGTCCTTCTCAGCGGAAGTTATTCCCCGGCTTCTCGGCGGAAGTCCGGGTGGTAGTCCCCTCGTGGCGAATCGCCGGCATGGCGCACTACAACTTCAAGAAGATCACTGTGGTGCCGTCCGCCAAGGTACGAGACCCCAAGGGCCCTTTTGTTACGGCTTTTCTCGGCCAGGCCGCGGGACGCTGGGGCTCCTGTGTGTAACGGTGGGCTGGAAGGGGCCGCCTTCTCCGCCAGGCCCCTTCCTAGGTCACGTTCTCTCGAGATTCGGGCCCTTTGGTTTGGGGTCCTCCCAGAGAGTGGGGGTCCTTCCTCAGAGATTAGGGCCCTCAGGGTTTGGGTTCTGGGTGTCTGTCCTTCCTCAGAAATTCGGGCCTTCAGGGGGTTGGGATCTGGAGGTCCTTCCTCAGAGATTAGGCCCCTGAGGAGTTGGGTTCTGGGGGTCCTTTCTCAGAGATTAGGGCTCTCGGGATTGGGATCTGCCTGGAAGAGACGGGGAGAGTCAGGAAGCTCTATGAAGTAGGTGGGTCTGCGTGGTCTCTGTCAGACGGACGACCGGCGGTAGCATGCCTCCCAGAGCAGACGGCGTCGCACACCTATCTGCCTGGACGGCTTGCTCTGGACTTCATGCCAGAGTCTTTCATGTCCACCTTACTTTGGGAAATTGAAAACAGCGGGTTTTAGTCTTACCAGTTATTTCGTGTGCTGTCAAAACTGGAGATACACAAACCGAAATAGTAGAACTGTTTCTGTTTAAAACATTATTTTTTCCTGATTTGTGCTTGAGTTTTCTGGGTACTTAGGTTTCAGATGATTTTAGGTATATGTAAGTTATGATAATGCAAGAGTGTGGGATAAAATTTATTTCAGCAGGCATTTGCCGAGTTTTTTCATAAAGGCAAGGAACCATAAAGATGAACACAGCTTTACACTGAAGATTTAATTAGAATAAATGTTTGTAGTTTAAAGTAGAAAAAGTGTTTGTAGTTTAAAATACATTGTTGAACATTAGTCTTTTAAGGTGATTTGAAATAAGTGGGTGAAAGGAGACATTTTTGGTGTAACTGTCTTATTTTATTGCAGGACTTTATTGACCTGACGTTATCGAAGACTCAGCGAAAGACTCCGACAGTTATCCACAAACATTACCAAATCCATCGCATTAGACATTTTTATATGAGGAAAGTCAAATTTACTCAGCAGAATTACCATGACAGACTCTCACAAATTCTGACAGATTTCCCCAAATTGGATGTAAGTGACTCTGTGGGACATAAGTGATTATGTAAATATATACCTTCAGGCAAGGTTAAACCAGCTGTGTCTACTCAGTTGACAGATAGTGAAGGAAAGAGGAAATGGCTTGTCAAAGTTTACTCCAAAAGTTAGTAACGAAACTGGGAGCAGATCAGAGGTTTTTTGATTCCTTAGTATCTGTTTCCCCAGTAAAACTCCCTTCTCTGAGGGCCCGGAGCATGCCTCAGGCTTTCTCTGTAACCTCTAGACTGTGGGGACAGTTGGAATTCTGAAAGCTGTGGACTGAATTCAGAAGCCCAAGGTTCTGGTGGCCTATGTGTGTTCTCTCCTTCTTTCCAAGGCTCCCTTTCCTGTGGCTTCAGATGGGTCCAGTGGCTTGAGGCCCAGCAGTGTGTGTTATCTTGTTGCTGCGGCTGATGGTTAGTGTGCTTTTCTTACTAGAGGCTGTCTCATGGGGCGCTGCCTTCTTCACTGAGCCCCCGAAGTTAGGCCCTGCTGCACCGAGCCTTCTGCCTGGGTGCTTAGCTGCAGGATGCAGGAGTGGACCTTGCCTGTGGAGCCCCTGAGTGGGACCACGTGGTTGTGAAGTTGCTGAGGTGATGATGGATGTGGGGTTTGCAATACAGCTTGAGAGCCTCAACTGCCCTGAGGTAGTTCCTGAAGGTGGGTTAAGGCAGAAGAGATTGGTTCATGTAACAGAAACTGTGGGTGTAGCATTCTAGGACTTGATGCTAGTGCTTAGTGGCCACTGGCTGGATGAGGGTATAGTTTCTGGGGAAAGTGCAGGTACTTCGGAAAGTACCTGAGGATGAAAAACGCAGTAAGGATGAGGTGACAGCACCAGGAAACACCTGTGCAAACAGAAGAAAAGCAAAGAGACAGGAGTTTTAAAACTTTCTTCTTAAGTTTTGGGCAATAACAGCACATTTACAGGTTAATGGGACTGGCTGGATGGATGGGAAAGTATTTCTGGAGCTCTCTTCTTGAGCCCAAGAGGTGGGCTCTGGTGCCCAGATGGAGTTGGTCCTGGCCAGGCCTGCACAGGGCAGGTGGACTTGGCTTCCCCGCTGACTCTATTTTTTTCTCTGTAACTAAATAGTCACTGTTCAGGAGAGAGGCCTGGGGAGAAGATTCAGGGGGGAGGGTGGGCGATGAAGAAGAACAAAAGGTGTGAAGTGTTTCCCTAGGAAGTTATGTTCAAGTGTTATCCACACACCAGAGGAGAAGCTGCCAGACCAAGGTGACCATTCTGTTGTTCTTGTTACAGGATATTCATCCATTTTATGCAGATTTGATGAACATTCTCTATGACAAGGATCATTACAAGTTGGCTCTAGGACAAATAAACATTGCCAAAAATTTAGTGGACAAGTAAGGGATTTTCTTAATGTAGTATCTTTTAAGTTACTGTCAAAGGAGAGCAAAATCTTACACATTTTTCTGTTTTCAGCGTAGCTAAAGATTATGTGCGGCTCATGAAATATGGTGATTCTCTGTACCGTTGCAAGCAACTGAAACGCGCTGCTCTCGGGCGGATGTGTACTATTATCAAAAGACAGAAGCAGAGTTTGGAATATTTGGAACAAGGTACTTGTTATGCATCAGCAACTAACTACTTGTTAGTGCATTCTGTTAAAGTACTTGTTTGTTGTTAAGAGTTATTTTTATAATGTTAATTTTTGTTTTGTTGTAGATATCAAAGGAACAAATTATTTTTCCCAGTCTAGCCTGTAAGAAAGTCTAACAGATTAGATGTGATTAAAAAGCAGCTAGAACTTAATTAATGCTTACATGTTAGTAGCACTGTTAAAAACATTTATGTCTTTCAAATTTAATAGGCAAGGCATGCACATTATAAATGGCAAGGAGATACCAAAATGTATAAAAATAAAGTGACCCATAGTTTTACCTGTTACTGACATTTTAGTGTAAAACATGTTGGCATCAAACTGCTACTCCAGTTTTGTTACCTGGTAGTTTTATTCAGTAGGTGATTACTGAATTAATGTAGAACAATTTTTATTGAAACAACTTTTTGCTGTTTTGCACGCGTATATATTTTTACATTTCAATTATTTTTAACTGATTTGATTTTGATCCCCTCCCCCAGCATCATGCATATAATTTGCAACAAGATCATAACTCTGAGCTGCTTTGACAGTGCTTCCAGTCTTCGGGTAGGTCTTTAGGTGGCCTGCCCAGTGGTGCTGCTGGAGCAGTCGAGGTCCTGAGGGTTGCTCGTTAAGTGGAAAAGGAGCCCTGTAGGCCAGGAGGTGCTAGAGAACACGCTTGCTCGAATCGCCCTTTCAAACTCGACTCTCTGCTCAGTCTCTGGGTTGTGTGGTCTGGACCCCACCTCAGTATGCTGGGTGGGAACCCATGCTGTTTGGACGTAGGAGGAGGGTTCTGGGTTCAGCCTGGATGCCCCTGCAGCTGGTCTCTTCTCCATTCATTCATGTTTTCTCGTCACGTGTATGATCATTGTTGGAGTGCGATAACATGGCCACAGGCCTGGAGTGTACAGCTAAGTTGAGCAGACCGTCAGCTTTGAGTTGCTTATGCTTTTTCATGAAGTTAAGCACATTTACCTTCGCCTTCTCACAGTGCGTCAGCATCTGTCCCGTCTGCCCACCATTGACCCGAACACGAGGACCTTGCTTCTTTGCGGGTACCCCAATGTTGGCAAGTCCAGCTTCATCAATAAGGTTGGTGCTGTCCCCGCACTGACTGAGGGCCCACTTGCATAGGCTGACGGGGGCTGCCCGGTCAGTGCTGGCTCTTGTCTTAGCAGTCTTGTCACATGAGGTGTCGTGGGTTCTTTTCTGACTGACGACAGTTAAGTCTTGATGCTGTTCGGCTGAGGCGTGTCTGTTCTGGGAGAATGAAAAAGTTAGAACCTGTGGTTTGTTCCAGGTGACAAGAGCGGATGTGGACGTCCAGCCCTACGCCTTCACCACCAAGTCTCTGTTTGTGGGGCACATGGACTACAAGTACCTGCGCTGGCAGGTGAGCACTAGCCTGGGGTGTGCGGCCTTGTTTCTGGCGTCCAGCTCTGGGCTTCCTACCGATGAGGGTCTGCCCATGTCCAAGGAGCCTGGGGGCTGGGGAGCAGGTCCCGGGTCGCCAGGAGCACCCCCCACCCCCTATGGACAGGCTCCAGGGCTGCATGGGGGCCGCTCTCCGTCTTCGGGTGAACTTGGAACACAGCAGCTCCCCATGTGGTGTCTGCGCTCTGCTTACAGCAGGACTTCTGATTGATGCATCCTCAGAAACCCAGAAAGGGTGGCGAAGCCTGTGTTCACAGTTGAATGTAATGATTCAGTGATGTTGTTCTGAGCACTTGGGGGCTTGCTGGTTAATCCAGGGCTAATAGAGCAGTCCTCTTTTTATCTAGTCTTCAGCATTGCTGGTGGGCTCGTTCCTCGGTGAGGGCCCCTCCCCCAGTTTTCACTTGTCCTTTCTTCCTCTGCCTTATTCCTGTGCCGTGGTCAGTGGGGAGCTCCGCCAGGGCTGGGTCTAGGTCTGTGGGCACCCTCGGCCTGTGTGCTGGGGTGACTCGTCTGCCCACAGGTGGTGGACACCCCTGGGATCCTGGACCACCCTCTGGAGGACCGCAACACCATCGAGATGCAGGCCATCACAGCGCTGGCCCACCTGCGAGCTGCAGTGCTGTACGTGATGGACCTGTCAGAGCAGTGCGGCCATGGGCTCGGGGAGCAGCTGGAACTCTTCCGGAACCTCAGGCCACTCTTTGTCAACAAGGTGGGTGTGGGCTCGTGTGGGGTCTCTTGAGTAACGTGCGCTGCGAAGGTGAGGATTTCATTAGTTTTCTTCCTCACTGCAGCCTCTTATCGTCGTAGCAAACAAATGTGATGTGAAGAGGGTCTCTGAGCTTTCTGAGGACAATCAGGTAAGTCGCCTCAATGTTTTCAAAATTTCCTGCTGATTTTGAACCTTGTCTCCCACAGCCAGAGTTGAGAAGGAACGTTAGTGATGCTAGTTCACAGAGTTTTGTTTTATGGTTGCGATTATGTCCTTAGTGACTGAGTCACTGTAACCTCATGGATGCCCATCAGTGGCAGAGGGACCATGAGGTTTCCTGTGGCCCCTCTCAGAGGCCATGGGGCTGGCAGTGCCTGTGGTCAGAGCGGCAGCCCCAGGAGCTGCTTGTTGGGAAGGGCTGTCTCTCAGCTGGGCACCTCGGCAGGTGGCATGGGTGCAGGTGGCCACGCTGGTCATGCTGTGATTGGTGTTTCCAGGGCGGAGGGGCCTAGGAGGGAAGCAGAGCTCCATCCTGAGCAGCCTGAAGTCTTGAGCTGGGCACTTGTTTCTGGACTCGGGGAGTGTGGTCGGGCGGGCAGTGAGGTGTCAGGTAGCCTTGGTGGAGGCGCAGGTGGGGTCCTTCTTAGGGTCTTAGTGGTTCATTTGTTGATGAGTCTTACCTGTTGCTGAGGTGTTTTCTTGGGGACTAACTTAGGCTGAGGAGACCAGGTATTTATAAAGAACAACATCAAGAGCATTGTCTGTGAGATAGATCTTGATTTTGCCAAGATTCTTTTCAGAAGAGTAGGCCTCACAGAATGTTCCTGAGTGCCTCAGGTTTGCTTGCTGCACTCTGGTTTGATTCTCCCCATAATGTGCATTGTCAATCACAGCAGAATTTAGGGACAAATAAATAGCAGTTTTGGGGAGATGTTCTTCAAAAGAATTAAAAACCACAGAGGTGTTTGTTGTGATTAACATCTGTAGCACCTGTTTGAGGAGGAGGACGGTTTGTGGATGGGAACTGAGGTTAAATGCTGTAGCTCATGTTTACTCATCCGTTGTGTTCCCAGAAAATATTTCTAGACCTGCAGGCGGAAGGCTTTCCTGTGGTGGAGACCAGCACACTGACAGAGGAGGGGGTTATCAGAGTGAAGACAGAGGTCAGTCCTCCCTGTAAGCAGGCCTGTCCCTTCCTTCATAGGAGGTTGGTCAGCCCAGAGCTCCAGCAGCCCCGCCGAGAGATGCGTCTGGGTTCCCTGCCCCCTCCTCCTGCCCTGTGAGTGTTGGGAGTTGGGGTCACACTCCCACCACGGGCCGTCTCCACCGGTCCTGCCCCCTGGGTTCTTGCATTGGGCTGGGCTTGCCCTGACCCAGGAAGGGAGACAGCAACTGCTCCCCTCTCCAAGAGCACACCGTCTCTGCCCCGGGCGACTTCCTGAACTTGGGGGTCCCAGCACCCAGCCCGCAGAGGCTGCTCTGAGGGAGAGCCCTGCAGGTTCCAGCCTTGGGTCCATCTGGCGAGGGGCTTTGGCTCCTGGGCCCTTTCAGACGTGATGGGACACTGGATGCCCCGTGACCCAGCGCCACGTGTTCTCATCCTCCTAGGCTTGTGACAGGCTTTTGGCTCATCGTGTTGAAACCAAAATGAAGGGAAATAAAGTGAATGAGGTGCTGAACAGACTGCACTTGGCTGTTCCCAGCAGGAGAGATGACAAGGTGAGACCTCCTATGGAGGCCCTGGAGACAGGGCTTGTGGGGCTGGTGGGGTTTCCTGGGTGCTCTTAGACCAAGGTCACACCATGTGTGTGTCAAAATTGAAAAGGTGAAAGGAGGAGCCAGGTAAACTGCTGCTCCCTGCACCAGAGGCTGCCTCCTGCACCTTGTCTTGTTTATCTTTCCAGAAACATTCTGGCATATCAGCTTTCCTCAAATTTTAAATAGGGTGGTATGCATAGATCTCTTTTTTTAATTGCAAGTTTATCTGTAGAGTGAAATTTAAGACATGCCATCAAAAATGTCATTGTTCTCAAAAGTGCACTGGAAATTTATGATCCTGACGGTTTGAGAATGTACACTTCCTGTTCTATCAGTATGATGGACCACAGATGATTCTGTTGTCGTGGTGTGTTTTCTTTTTGTCTTTGTTGCACAGCTTTCGGGATCTCAGTCCCTTGACCAGGGATTGAACCCGGAACCTGGCAGTGAAGGCTGGGAATCCTAACCACTAGACTGCCAGGGAAGTTTCACGGGTTTTTTTTTTTGTTGTTGTTGTTAATTATTTTGATGTTTCTCTTGTATTCTGTTCATTCAACACTAATTTTTGGTGACCAGTGTAGGAGCTAACAATAGGTAAAGATCATTGCCAGTGATGTTTGTTACTGTAAAACTATTTGTTCACAGAAAGTTGTGCCAGTTTTCAATTTTTTTCAGTACCACACATCTTTTTCTCCAAAATAAAGTGAAAATTATAAGTGATGTTTCTATGTTGTGGTTTCAGGTAGTTGTGCTCACTGATTATTCAACTTGAATGTTTCTAGTTACTGAACGTTGTGTGGAACTGACTATTTCATGGTCATTAACATACCGATTGAGTTCTTCACTTCTGTAGGTTGATTATCTCTTATTGATTTTTAATTTTTATATTAAGGAAGTCAGGCTTGCGTGTTCTATGCATGTGTGCTCAGTCACTTCAGTCATGTACGACTCTTTAGGAGCCCTAAAGGAGCCTGCTAGGCTCCTGTGTCTTTGGGGTTCTCCAGGCAAGCATACGTGTGTTGCCATGCCCTCCTCCAGGGCATCTTCCCAATCCAGAGGTCCAACCTGCGTCTCTTGTATCTCCTGCATTGTGGGCGGGTTCTTTACTCTTTACTACAAGTGCCACCTGGGAAGCTCTGTACATTCTGTAGACATTTTTTTTCTCTTTGTATTTTGATTCAACAAGCATTTCATGTGGGTATTTCCAATCATGTTTTCGCAGGAGAGGCCCCCGTTCATCCCTGAAGGTGTGGTGGCACGCAGGAAGAGGATGGAGCTCGGGGAGCCGAAGAGGAGGCGGGTAGGTGAGGGAGCCCCAGGCCTGTGCTGGAGTGGGGACAGGGGCGCCTGGGAGCATAATCCCCAGGGCTGGGACCCCCTCCTGGGTTGGGGGACAGGGCTGCCAGGGGTGGAAGTAGGTTTTCCACTGGAAGTTGGTGCTGAGCTTCAGGTGGCAGAAGGTTGGAGAGGGGTAATGCCATGGGGCTGGTGGGCACCTGACAGTTTTGGCCCTGGGGGTCGGAAGTGCTGATGAAAACTATTGCATTTTCATTGCAGGAACGGGACCTGGAACTGGAGATGGGGGATGATTATATTCTGGATCTTCAAAGTAAGGGCTCAAGTGTGGTAGTTGTTTTAAGATGCTAGGTGTGTGAAAAGTATGAGAGTACCTTAGTGGGTACAAGTTGTCCAGCATTTTGTTAGTTTAATTTCTTGAAGGTGAGAGGTTGCCGGGATGCTGAGATTTTTTTCTTTCCAGGTAAGGTTTCTCTTATTTTTGGTGAGGGATTATTTTTGTACCTTTCCTGGCGTATAATGCTGGGCCAGGCTGATAGCATCAATAGACTCTTGTTCATGCCTTAGGACTCTTGGTTTTGAGGTACTGATGGGCCCTGGCATGAGCATGGAATAGTCCTCTGCTCGAGCACGTTACCTTTTTTACCTGGTGCTGAGCACAGATGCTCTACTGTCTTTGCAGATGTGGGACTTGGTTAAGTGGTTAACTCTTTGGGCATCCAGTAGTTGATTTTTTTTGTTTGTTTTTTGACCGTTAGAGTACTGGGATATAATGAATTCATCTGAGAAACATGACAAGATCCCTGAGATCTGGGAAGGCCATAACATAGCCGACTATATCGACCCTGACATCATGCAGGTTTGTGTCCCTGGTGACATTGTGTGTCTTTTACTCCTCTTCAGCCTGACCCAGGAGATATGAGCACAGCTTCTTACTCCACTTGTCCTCAGCCCTTGTTCCTTCTGCACCCACCAGGAGTCTGGGCTCTGCCACCTGGGGCCCCGTGTTCAGCCCTGTGTCCTTCCACCTGAGGCTGGTGCACACTCTTTGCTCCACCAGACCTCCCTCCCTGTCTTCCTCTGCTGGGCTCAGGGTGCCTCCTTCATGAAGGACTCTCGTGTGTGGACACCCCAGTCTCCTGCCCAACCCTGCCTCACCCCACGAGTGGACCCTCTGCTGGGGCTGCCCACTCCCCAGACTGACCCTCCTCTTCCGTGGTCCTGCTCTGGCACTCGCGGTTGGCCCCCTCCTCACTTGCTATTTCTTAACATATGAGTGTCCACAAGTTTCTCTCTTTTTTAAAAAAAACAAAGCCTTCCTTAGACCCTGTGTTCCCCTTCAGTTGTGGTCCTGTCTTTTCTGAGTAACGTCTTAATGTGTGAAAGTGTACGATCAAGTGGCATCTAGTACATATGCGGTGTTGTATGGCCACCACCTCCCTGTGGTCCCAAAGCCTTTTCATCATCCCTGAGTAACTCCCAGCTCTGACAGCACTTCTCCTCTCCCTGGCCTTGGGCAGTCGCATCCTTTTTTGTGTCTGTCAATTTTCCTATTTTGTGGATTTTATATAAGTGGAGTCACACGTAAGTTGATCTCCCACTGAGCATGGTATTTTCAAGATTTGTCTGTGTCATAGCATGTGTCGGAGCTTCCTCCCTCTTTCTTAGTGATGTTCTGTTTCAAATGTATGGCACATTCTATATAGTATATAGTTCGTGCTCTTATCTCATGGATGGACATAAGGGTTGTTTCTACCTTTTGGGTGTCATGGTTCATGTATTAGTATTGAGTGTTTTCAGCATGTCTGGGCAGATTCCTCGGAGAATTGCTGGATCATAAGGTAATTTTATGTCTTACTTTTTGAGGAACTACCAGTTCTCGGATGGTGTCCTTGATTTATATTTCATGTCTTCATCTCTTCAGTTGTGCCTGTTGCTCTGTCTCTTATTGTGTAGCAGCCTGCTTCCACAGTCTGGGCTCTGATGGCCCATGATTGGCTTCACCTTGCCTATCCACTTCAGTTTCCTTCCTTCCTGCCTTATCACACTAGTAGTGATGGGGGCACCTTTGACTCGGGCTCTTGTTGAGGTTTATTATACATTTTTAAAGATATTATTAACCATACAGTTAATAAGCTTGTATTTGGAATGGCTTTGGGAGGATACACAAGCTGTTGTGGTCCAAGGCCAGTTTGGGTTGATATCATGGTTCTTTTAAGAACAGAGGTTCTCTTGTGTACCTGCTAGGAGAGAAGAGAACGTTTTACATGTCTTAACTTTGGAGTTGGGAGTGATTCTTTTTTTTTTTTGGGAGTGATTCTTTTTAAGAAAGGTAAAGAAATGGCATGGAACAGTCTGCTTCTGTGGGTGTAGTCTTCTTGCTCATCTCTGTGCCTGTTCGCGGGGAGGTGAGCCTTGGTGAGGCCACATGAGCCTGAACCTGGGCATTTGTATCACCTCAAAAGGCTTAGGGGAAACCTGGTTTTTGTAAAGGTTGTTATACTTATGTATGAGTTTTTATTGTTGACTTTAATTATGACTTTTTTTTTAAGAAATTGGAAGAGTTAGAAAAAGAAGAAGAACTAAGAACAGCTGCTGGAGAGTATGACAGTGAGTCTGAAAGTGAAGATGAAGAAATGGCGGAGATTCGACAGCTGGCAAAACAGATTAGGGAAAAAAAAAAGCTGAAGATTCTACAGTCCAGAGAGAAGGACACACAGGGGCCCAGGATGCCTCGGACGGCCAAAAAGGCAAGTGTTGTGCTCAAGAGTCAGTGGTTCTTTGTGTGCGGGCGTCTGTATGGCCTGCCCTTTGGTTGGTGTAAGTTGACTTTTGAGGTTGGCTGAGTGTTGACCTTCTATATTGTGTTCCACCCCTTTTTGGTGACTTTCACTGTTGGATTCAACTACTTTGTAGCTGTACAAATGAAGATTGTGAGTTATGGGTAAATTTGTGGAGGTAAACTCATCAGTTAACACGTCCTTATTCTTTAATTCTTTATTGGTCAGGACTTAACCTTTTACTTTCTTCAGAAACCTAACGCAGTCTAACTCAGAGCCAAAGTGATTTATTTGAGCCCTGTGACTGGTTAGGATGGGGAGGTTCACGCTGAGGCACAAGTGGATTGGATGGAGCCAGGGTCCTCTGGTCCTCAGGTCCGTCTCCTTGGGCCCTGGCTCTTGTCTGGAGTCACTGCGCCCAGGGAAGGAGGATGGTGTGGGGGATGGTTGAGTGAGCTGGTCCAGGCTGTCTCCATGGAGCACACGTGTGTGTTTGACATGTCATTTCTGTGTGTGGATGATGTGGACAGCTGTGGCATCCCTGTTTCCCCCCACTGTGGGGGAGGAGGTGCTGGCCTCTTGGGTCTGCATGTGGGAACCCCTGGGGAGCTGAGCGGAATCTTGGGGCCACGAGTATGTTGTCCTGAGTGTAATATATAATCAACAGAAAATGTTAACTTTTATGTTATTTAATGAGTTGTCCAAAAACATGCATGTGAACCCAAGTAAATAGTTTCTAAAATAAGTGTATCATGGATCATTGTTCTGTATGTTTTTCCTTGAGTTTTTTTTTTTTTTTAAAGGTTTCATCACACTAATTGTTTAAAACAATGTGGTTTCCCCCTTCAGGTTCAGCGGAAGGTCTTGGAGGATGAGATGCGCAGTCTTGGTGTTGACATGGATGACAAGGACAATGTGAGTGCAGATGGCTGGGGTGGGGGTGGGGCGCTGTTCTGGGAACCAGGGCAGGAACAGGTTACAGAGGAATCAGCGCTTCTGGGGTTTGTGTTGATAATTATGTTGTTGTGCACAGTTTTTATTCTTGAGCTTTGACTTTGATTTTGGTGACCAGAGTCTTCATATTGAGCTTTAATTTGCTTCAGTTTAGACAAAGTAAACGGGAGGTGGTGCTGAGTGCCTTGGTGTGAGAGGAACATAGGCTATAAATAGTTCAAAGTCATACCTTGGACCCTAGAGGTTAGAAGGCATTTCACATACCTTTTTTAGTGTCCCAGTTTTTCTTGATGAATTGAGCCAGAGTACACATCTTCGTATGAAAGAGCATCTTCATGTTCTGGATTATTTCTCAAAGCAGTTTCTCAGAAGTGGAATTACCTAAACAAGGAAAACCATTATGTTAGACTAATCGGATTTTGATGAGCCACGCATGCTATTCACATTATGTCTCTTGACTAATGATTATCGGATGTTGGGCTCTCGGCCTGCCTTCCTCTCACATCGCTGTGCAGTCTTATTTCCAGACAGTAACCTGAGGGGCATCTTGAGCAGGGGCCTGCAGAACCTGTCCTCAGCACTCGGGTCTTTCCTCAACCTCATGGCTGAGCTTTCTGGCAGCCAGTAACTGTAGAAGGGGGTTGAGGAGGGCAGCTCTTGACAGACCGTGCTGCTCAGGAGGTTGAACAGGCAGCTCCGAGTAGCACACAGCAGCTGTGTGAGTGAAGACAAATATTTGACCAATAATCAGTGGGGACTGTGTGTACTTGATTTTTTTTTAGTGTTTTTTTTTTTTTTTTTTAAGATTTGTTTATTTATTTTGGCCACGCTGTGCTGCATTTGGAATGTTAGTTCCATGACCAGGGACTGAACCTGCATCCCCTACAGTGGAAGGGAGGACTCTTCCCCACTGGTCCACCAGGGCAGGCCCTGACTATGTTTTAAATGTATTTAGCTTGTTTGACGATGGTTCTACGAGCCCTCCATGTGCCTTCTCCCCCCACTGGAGTAATTTCATGTTTGTCACTAAGGCCGGGACCCCGAGGTGCCAGGACCCCAAGGCGCTGGGACCCCGAGGCACTGAAGCCTGCTCTGTTTCAGGCCCATTACGCAGTCCAGGCCAGAAGGTCTCGGAGCGTCACCAGGAAGAGGAAGCGGGAAGACTCTGTCCTGCCCGCCTCTGTGACCCGCAGTCACAGCTGTCCTCGGCCTCCACGTGATGTCTCTGGTCTCCGGGATGTCAAGGTTAGTCCCTGTAACTAGTAACTAATAAAACAGTAACCTCTACGGTTGACCCCTCAGGGGGTTGGGGCAAACACTTGGAGCCGCAGAGATTGTGGGGTGGGTGGTGGAGTGCGCTTAGCTGAGTGCTGCACCCTAAGGGTTGGGCTTGGCCCCTGCACAGCCGGGTGTCCATGGGCCTTTTCTTTACGTGTGTGTGTTCCTTCTCAGGGCAGACAGAGCAGGGTATTGCAGTGGCCTTGCAGCCTGAGCCTTGGTCCCAGCCACTCAGGGCTATGCTAGGAAACAGTCCTGCTCAGAGCCTGGACATGAGGCCCTCACCCACCATAGCAGGGAGCTGTTTGGGGCAGTCTTGAGGAAAAGACACTTTGGATGTATACAGTCTCTTTTCGTGGCAACTACTACTTTTCCTTTTTTTCTTTAAATACAAAAATGGTTAGTTTCAGCATTTTGAAAATTCATATAGATGAGAAAGTCTGTATATAAACTGATAAGCAGTGTGCTTTCAGGGAGCCATTTCGTCTAGTAATCTGGACTTAAAACCAGCATTGCCACTTGTCAGTCAGATATGAGTAGCTCCATGGCCGGATCTCCACGCCCTCATCTGCTGAGAGGGAAGCAGAACAGAACAGAGTACCTGATCTTGCAGGTCTGAGAGTGTCTGGTCCTCACAGGTACGAGACTGGTCTGGTACAGTTTCCATCCTGTGGGTACTGTGGTATGTCCATGGGAAAATTGTGTGAGTGATGCTCACTAGGGCTTCTCTTCACAGCGCAGACCTGGACTGTTCACATCAAGTGTTAACAGGTAATGGAAATTCATTTGGAAATTTGGGTTTTCACAACTGATAGGTTTTTCTTTACCTTTGTAGATGGTGAAGAAGGCCAAGATGATGATGAAGAACGCTCAGAAGAAGATGAATCGCTTGGGGAAGAAAGGGGAGGCAGACAGACATGTGTTTGACATGAAACCGAAGCACTTGCTCTCAGGAAAGAGGAAAGCTGGTAAAAAGGACAGGAGATAGTGTCCTTTGCCGCTGAAGCACTTTGACCCCACTTTTTCCTGGTTTGGTTTCACAGAGCTGGGAGTCGTGATCTGTAAACTGAACAGAACAGTGAAGTAACTCAAGGACTTGTGCTTTGCTGAAAGCTATGGTAATGCCTTAAATGTACGGGTGTGGGTTATTTTTGTCACTGTATTATATTACAGATATTTTGAGTGGGCAGTGGTTTCTCATTTCTTAAGTTTTGGTTGCTTCAGACTTGGAGGACAGGAAAGATTTATTGATGTGACTGTGTTGCTTTTGATGGACAAATCTACTAAGTCATCTTCTAGTCCTTTTGTTCAGTGCACTGTTTTGATTTGTCTTCAACTATTTTATCCAAAATAAACTTCCAAAAGAAAGAAATTTTGATTTATTTAGTTGGTTTTATTTTTGTTTCAGTTACAAACCACTGTCAGTTTGGGCAGATGAAAAGGGAAAAAAGCAAATGACTATTCTTTTTTGTTTTCAAAGCAAAAAATACTTTTCTGTGGAGTAGAATGTTGGGATCTCCTGCTTCAGTGTCCACTGCTGAAGACTGGTTTGAGTGGAAATCATTGTAAGGTTCATGCTCAGTAAAATGAACAGGATTAGCACGTGAGAACATGAAATGCTTATAACAGCACTTCTCAACCACAAAACTGCCATGGCCACCACTTTGCGTGCAGCTTTCAAGTCCCCTCTGCTCACTGTCAGTGTTTCTAAGTGCACCTCTGTGGGTCCTTCAGTGTTGAGCAGTGTAATTCAGGGCTTTTCTACACATAGGTGTGTTTGAAAGTTGCATTTTAGGGATCCAAAGTAAAGTTTTGTTTGGGTTGGGAAAGATTATGTTCAGAGAAACCTGTTGAATGATATCAGTCAGAACGACCAGGGACACCCAGAGTCCCTCTCCTCTGGGATTATACTTTTAAGTTCAGTTCAGTCTCTCAGTTGTGTCCGACTCTTTGCGACCCCATGCAGCACGTGCCCCATGCCCCCTTGGCAGCATGCCAAGCCTCCCTGTCCATCACCAACTCCTGGAGTCCACCCAAACTTAGTCCATTGAGTCGTGATGCCATCCAACCATCTCATCCTTTGTTGTGCCCTTCTCCTCCTGCCCTCAATCTTTCCCAGCATCAGGGTCTTTTCAAATGAGTCAGTTCTTTGCATCAGGTGGCCAAAGTATTGGAGTTTCAGCTTCAACATCACTCCTACCAATGAATACACCCAGGACTGATCTTCTTTAGGATGGACTGGTTGGATCTCCTTGCAGTCCAAGGGACTCTCAAGAGTCTTCTCCAACACCACAGTTCAAAAGCATCAATTATTTGGCGCTCAGTTTCCATCCATCTCTCACATCCATATGTGACCACTGGAAAAACCATAGCCTTGACTAGATGGACATTTGTTGACAAAGTAATGTCTGCTTTTTAATATGCTGTCTAGGTTGGTGATAACTTTCCTTCCAAGGAGTAAGCATCTTTTAATTTCATGGCTGCAGTCACCATCTGCAATGATTTTGGAGCACAGAAAAATAGTCAGCCACTGTTTCCCCATCTATTTACCATGAAGTGATGGGACTGCATGATCTTAGTTTTCTGAATGTTGAGTTTTAAGCCAAGTTTTTCACTCTCCTCTTTCACTTTCATCAAGAAACTCTTTAGTTCTTCTTCACTTTCTGCCATAAGGGTGATGTCATCTGCATATCTGAGGTTATTGATATTTCTCCCAGCAATCTTGAATCCAGCTTGTGCTTCTTCCAGCCCAGCGTTTCTCATGATGTACTCTGCATATAAGTTAAATAAGTAGGGTGACAATATACAGCCTTGATGTACTCCTTTACCTATTAGGAACCAGTCTGTTGTTCCATTGTCCAGTTCTAACTGTTGCTTCTTGACCTGCATACAGGTTTCTCAAGAGGTGGGTCAGGTGGTCTGGTATTCCCATCTTTTTCAGAATTTTCTCTGGCAGAAACTCTGCTGACTCTTTTGGACTCTCGGAGTTTAAAGGCTGGCTCCTTCCCCTGGTGGGGAGGCCTTGGTGGTAAACCAGTTTTGGTCAGTTTTAGCCCCTGTGGCTCAGCATCAGCCTGTCCTCCCACTCCCAATCCTGAGTTGGTCACTGTGCCAGCATTTCTGGAGCTGCCTGTTGGCATCAGATTGAGCCCTTAAAGGGCCCTGTCCTCCAAATACTGGGATTTTTGATTGGCAGTTGCTGCTTCTGATGGTAGAGGTGTAAACATGGATCCCTGCCAGCTGAATTTGAAGGGTCAGTGCTTATTTCTTTTCCCCCCGCATTTTTTCCTTTTTTACCCCCTTTGAGAGCTAGAGATTTAAGAATTACGACTTCAAAAAGCACTGCATGCTCAGCAATTTAGAAAGTCAACATGTTGACAAAGAAGAAACAGATTTGGAAAAAGAACTGAGACCTGAAGACCTCAGGAGGCACAGATACTCACAACTAAAAATTCACATACAAAAATAGTGTGGAAAGTATGGTCCATTAAAGGAAACAAAACTAGGAAACCGTCTTTCAGGAAGACCAAATGGCAGACTTACTAGACAAAGACTGTAAAACAGCTGCCTTAAAGATGTTCAAGAAGCTACAGGAAGATGGAGACAGTCAGAAAAAACAATGCATGAACAAAATAGGAATATCAGTAAAGTTTAATAGATGGTACCTTTGCTCTGTACCTGTTGTCAGTGCTTTGTCCAGAATCTAAATATAAGACACCACTGCCCACACAGCAAGCACTAGCCACTGTAGCTACCAAGTTTTTTGTAAGCTAAAGAACTAGAAATAATATAAATGCATTTTGAATGCATTTACCATGCTTAAGCTACCACATGACTTTTCACCTATTACTGTATTGAAGTTATAACCAATTAGACAACAGTATCAAAATGTAATTTATTTTTGTTAAAGTTAACATTTGCTGCAGTTTTGCCTGAAATCAGTAGCATTCAAGGATAATAAAGCAGTCTTAAGGTCTCAAATGTAAGAAATCTGTGGCAAGAGTTTAAAAAAGTACCATTAGTCAAGGGACATTTCGAATAATAATACATACATATTCCATAACCCAAATCTATTTAACATGAATATTAACCTGTTTTCGGTTAATTTTCCTACAACATGGCCTGACCTCCAGAAGACATTTACCGTTTGGTGTCACTGGGGATGCCATGGGGGGAGGGGTGCCAAAGGCATTTTTTGGGTAGAACCTAAGAATGCTGCTATACAAGGCAAAGGATGAACTTTCAAAAAGAATTAACCAGTCTAAACTGCAGTGCCACAGTTAAAAGACCCTGTTGTTGAGTATGACTCAACTGACCCAAGTTCCATTTTACAAATAGTCTGTGTTCCTAGTTATTTTGAAAACCAGAGTTTACTAATTGGCATGGACTATTTAAATGACTTCACCTAGCCAATGTCCCTACCAAAATCAATGTTAGACTTTAAGTATCAAAAATACTTACAGAATGATTAAACCACAAAATTAACTTTCAATGACAAAAATCATGCCATTTAATTCCCTTGAACTGCTCTACTATATTTTATCTCTTAACATGGAAAGTTAAATTGCAATGTTTTGAAGTAGATAAGCAAATAGCTTCCATTGCACATTATTTTGGACCATGATAAAAGTTTAAAGATATGTCAAGTACCTGGCAGATAGTCAAGTGCTATACAAGTCTTCTGAAAATGTTTATCATAATATATAAAAAATGAACTCGTTTGTTTAAATGTGTCATAACCATTTGTTTAGACAGGTTAAGTTTATTTTGCTCTCTTTGTATAATAATCTCTGAAATTTTTTTTTTACAAATTGCAGTACATATATATGGGGTGTATGACATAAAATCAAGAATTCTCTTCCATACAAATTCTGGTTGTAAAGTATCAGTATTTCCACGGAGAGTTCCAGTGGGGAACCAGATTTTTTTAAAGTTCATTTTAAGTTTACTAACTAGAGAAATTCTTCAGTACTTTAGCAACCATTCATCTTCACTTTTACATTCTGTGTATTTTCTCATGGTCAACAAACAGATTCAAACGATTTAAGTTATCCCACCACTTAAAGAGAAAAGTATCTGCAATAATTTGAAACCATGGGGTTATCTTAATTTCACCACGGGCTGCCTTTTCTAGAAGTTCTTGTAATTCTTCCTTTGTTACATAGCAATAGCTTTTAATCTCATTGGGGTCTGGATTCAAGGTCACATTCTTCTTCACAAACAAAATGTAATCAATTTCATGTTCTCCCCAGATACCATCAGATTGAGCCTTGTAGTGAATTCGTGTTAGATAATTAATTTCCTCTGGAGGAACCTAGGGTTAAAAAAAAGAAAAACCTCTAAAACATCAACCAAAAAATAATCTAAATCAACCTACTACATTTCAGTAATACCTTGAACAACAGAACTAGTTTTAGAATGACAATTTTTGAAAGATCAATTTCCTATTAATACACGGAATACATAAAGTATATATACTGTGAAAGTGAAAAGTCTCACAGTTGTGTCTGACTCTTTGAGACCTCATGGACTATACTATACAGTCCATGGAATTCTCCAGACCAGAACACTGGAGTGGTTAGCTGTTCCCTTCTCCAGGGGATCTTCCCAACCCAGAGATTGAACCCAGGTCTCCCTCATTGCAGGCAGATTCTTTAAGAGCTGAGCCACCAGGGAAGCCCAAGAATACTGGAGTGGGTAGCCTATCCCTTCTCTTCAGGGGATCTTCCCAACCGAGGAAAATATACTTGAAATAGTATTAAATAGTTTCAAGTCTGAAATTTTTCCCAAAGAACCAAAAATTGAAGATTTATTGAAAAAGGTATATTAGAGAAAATAGAGTCACTCAAACTAGAAGTGTGACATTCCCCCTCGCGTCTTAATTTATAGGAGAAAAAAAATTCCCATTTTAACTAGATAAGAGAGATACTTTTATTTATTCAGGTCTTATTGAAAGGGGACAATTCCAGGAACAAGAAGATAATTTCAATTCACCCAATCAAATCTGTAGTTCACAAGAAAATACTCATCTTTGGTCAATTATAAACTGTCAACTTTATATACTGGTTAATAATCCATTTTGGTAGAGTTAAGTACACGTGTTATAAGGTCAAAATTTAACTCATTTAACGGGCTTTTTAGGGATCTAAAAAAACAAGTGATACAAAGCAGAGAGCTACACTTGAATTTAAAGTTTTATTAAAAATTGTTTTAATGTATTCTAAATAGGTTTCAGCTGGTATGGTGGGTTACCTCTTCCATGGGAATTCCGAGTTCGGCCTTTAACCGCCTCTGTGCTGCTCTTCTTATTCCAATGGCATCATTTTCTTCCAGCTCACTTGGGTTGCTTAACGGGTGACTACAGCAAGTATTAGTAAAACACCCTGGAACATGTTAATGTTTATAAATATACATAAATAAACTTTTCCTGAAAGTAGGTTAGGAAGATTAATAAAACTTTAAGTTTTAAAAGTAACAAAAATAAAATGATTCTGGAGAATTTTAAATGTTACAATGGGCTACCAGCGACCATTTTGTGAAAGACACAGGTAAATGTACATTTTTATGAACGCTTTCTTAACACAAAAGGTCAAAACGTGTATAAGACACACCTATACAGACCTAGCAGTTTTCATCATTTACTGCTGCTTTATTTGCTTTATTTGCAACGGTGGTTAGATCCACCGTTCAAGCTTCTCGTGTGAAGAAAATAAAACTCAGCAACTGACTAGAGTTTTCTGATTTCGGCTACCAGAAATTGCAGGTGACAAATCAAACAAATCAAAGCACGTACAGCTGCCAATAACACACAAAGGGTGAGCACTTACCTGGGAAGGTAATCTTAGCGTCTGACCTCTGCTGCAGCAGCAGCTTGTTCTCGGTGTTGAACAAGAAGACACTGAAAGCTCGGTGCAACAACCCTGACGGCGAGAGATGCGACGCCCTGAATCTCTGTCTGGGGCTCGCAAGGCCTCAGGCGGCCGGAGGGGGTGACGTGGGACCCCCGCCCTCCCTGCGCCCGGGGACCCCAGCCCGCCGCCCTCGCGGGCACCTCTCTCGATGTTCTCGTTCAGGTGGCAGTTCTTCTTGGTCTCCGCCCCAATCCTCCGGTCGTTCTCATCGATGAGGATGCACATCTCGGCCAGGAGCTGCACCTGCCGCTCGTCCAGCTCATCCGTGCTTACCTTCGGCATCGCCGCCCGGCCTCCGCGCCGCCCCGGGAACCTGGGAGCGGGGGTCCCAGGGTCGGAGGACACACCTGCCGCCTCCCCGGCGCCGGCTCCCGGGCCGCGCTCACAGCCCCCCGCGCTGCCCACGTGGCGCAGACCCCGGGCCTCCGGCTACTTCCCCACATGGTTGGGTGAGACTACGGGATGCGATCTGCAAGCGCTCGGCCCGCCCCTCAGCGCGCAAAGCCCGGACCCCCGCCCGCCTCCCGGGACCTCACAGACTCTCTGCTCCATACCTCAGACGCGCGCCGTCCACTGAAGGCTGCACCGCTGGGCGAGTCTCCTTCAGACCCCGCCCCCAGGCAAGGGCCCCGCCTCCGGCCCGAACCCCGCCCCCCGAGGCCGCGCGGCCAATTGCCCGCGCCGAGAGCAGGGCGCGCCACATTCCCGCCGACCAATGGTGCGCCGGCCCGCGACCCACGTCACGGTCGCGCGGTGGCGCCACTCCCGATCTCCAGGCGTCTCCTCCCACGGTTCTGGGCTGCGGAACCTTCCCCAGGCCGCAGCGCGGGTGCTCTCGATGCCTTCGGTACACAACTCAGGTGACGCTCCTCGACCGCGAAACGGCCTAACGGAGGGCACTCACTAGGGGCCGGGTGAGCGTCCGTTTACGTCTTGCCCTCGGCCGGCTCTAGCGAATTGGCGCGCCCGAGGCGCTGCGCTCGCTGCGCGCTGACGTCAAGCGTCTCAGCGCGCTCGAGGTCTGAGGCGCCCGGGAGGCGCCTGTGTGCCAAACACAGTCTGTGCGCCAAACAGCCCTGTCGGTGAGCGTGAGCTGTCCCCGGCGGGTAGTGCGGCGACTTCAAAGTAACTAGACAAGTTTGTCACTATTTGTGAAGGAAAGGAGTTAGAAAACGACCTCTGCCAGTCGGGAGTTGCTGGCAAACCACCAGAAGGCGAGAGAGAGAGAGACATGGCACAGATTCCCTGTCACAGGTCTCAGCAGGAACCAGCACCGACTGGCACCTTGATCCTGGACCTCAAGCTTCCAGACCTGAGACAATAAATTTCTGTTGTCTAAGCCTGATTTGTGGCATTTTGTTACAGCAGCCCTATCAAAGGAACGCACTGTGGAAAACGTGGGCTTTGATGTGGACCTGGATTTTAATCCAATCTTTGCTCCTTTGCATACTAGCGTTTTGAGTTTCGACAACTAATTATGACATCCTCACGCTTAATTGGACTTCCCAGGTGGCGCTAGTGGTAAAGAACTCACCTGCCAATGCAGCCGATGTGAGACACGGGTTCAATCCCTGGGTTGGGAGGATCCCCTGGAGGAGGGCCTGGCAACCTTCTCCAGTATTCTTGCCTGGAGAATCCCGTGGACAGAGGAGCCTGGCGGGCTAGTCAATGGGGTCGCACAGAGTCGGACACAACTGAAGCGACTTAGCATGCTCGCATTTTTAAGATCAATTCAGAATAATTTGTACTTTAGTCGACTTATATTGTTTCTGCTGTACAGCAAAATGATAGTTCACACATTATTCTTTAACAGTATAGATTATAAGATGTTGAATATAGTTAGTTCCCTGTGGTACACAGTAAATCCTTGGATTCTGTTTATATATAGCAGTGTATATGTTAATCTCAATATAATTTATCCCCCCCACCTTTCCTCTTTGGTAGGCCTGTTTGTTGTGTGAGTCTATTTCTGTTCTGTAAATTAAAGTTCATTTGTATCATACTGTAGATAGTTGGATGGCACCGCTGACTCCATGGACATGAGGGTGGACATGAGTTTGAGCAACCTCAGGGAGTTGGTGATGAACAGGGAAGCCTGGCATGCTGCTGTCCATGGGGTCACAAAGAAATAGAACACGACTGGAGTGACTGAACTTAGAGCCAACCTACAAATATGTGTTTCGCTGACTTTCTTCACACTGTGACGATCTCTAGGTTCATTCTTGTTGCAAAAGGTTTTGTTTTTTAATTAGTATGCCATTGCGCACATGCATGCATGAGTGTATACACGCATCTTTTTTATCCAGTGTGTTTATACACATCTTTATCCATTGTGTATGTGTTTATATATACACACCACGTCTTTTTTATCCATTCTATTTGTTGATGGACATTCAGATTGCTTACGGGTATTGGCTACTGTGAATAGTGCTGCTGTGAACATTTGGGGGTACATGTATCTTTTGAAATTAACAATTTTGTCCAGATATATGGCCAGTTGTGGGATTGCTGGATCATATGGTAGTTGTATTTTTAGTTTTTTAAGGAACCTCCACACTGTTCTCCACAGTAGCTGTACGGTTCCCTCTTCTCCACACCCTCTCCAGGTGTGGAGACTTTTTGTGGACTTTTTGATGATGGCCATTTGGACCAGTGTGAGGTGGTACCTCATCGCAGTTTTGATCAGCACTTTATTAGGTTGGCTTGAGGATCAGACAGGTTAACAAATATGTTATGTGCCTGGCACACAGCGGGCCCCCAAAGTGTTGATTTTTTCCCCCTCTTTATTTTTGTGACACTTTACAGTCATTTTATTTCCAGTGACTTTTATAGAATTATAAATATAGCAGAGAAAAGATTACCTCAGTTATAACAACAACATCCTAAGTTTCACCCAAACTGTTGATGCTGTGCTGCAAAGTAAAACCACATTCTAGCATCTGAATCAATTGGAGCTGATACTGTGGTTCACCCGGCATTCTACCTGCTCCCTCGCCCTGCAGAATGCCTTGGGCATATTAGGTCCCTAATAAAGTTGCTGGTTGAATGGTAGCTACAACCACCAAACTTGAAAACCGCCCCCCCCCCCCACAAAACCTTGAAACCCTCAGTTCACCTTATATAACTGATTCTAGCAATAAACTTTTATTATACTGAATATTGAAGTAACCTCGGGTTTTACTGCGCAAGCTCTGTGGCTATTCGAATCCCCAAATACGTCGAATTTGTTTCTTGTTCAACAATCGTACTAATGCTTCTCCAATTCGAATGATGAACTTTAGTCTGTATTAAAAAAATAAAAAAGCTCCCACGCGTCTGATTTCGTCTTTGCTTTAGGACTTTAAACGCCCTGCTGGTTGTTCTTAGAGCAGAGGCCGCCTGCGCACCCTGTAATTTTTCCAACCTGTACAAGGACAAGAAGGCCATCAGGTCCCACCTTTCGCGGCGAGACGCTGCCTTTGTTTCGTCTCCGCAGCCAATGGCGAACACACACTTCATACCGGAGGCTGCAGGGGGTGAGTCACCCTCCGCAGATCCGCCGGGATCCGCGCGCAGCCGCCTAGCCCGCGCCGCCCCGGGAAGCGACGCCCGGGAAGCGGTTCCCGGCACACGAGGCGGTTCCGACTGGGGCCGGCGGCTCCAGAAACCCGACCCGGGTCCAAATGGACGCCGACCTGCGCCAGCCCGGGACGCCCTTGGGCCCCCGCCGCCGTGAGTACCCGCAGGTCCTCAGCGCCCCCGCGCCAGTGGGCACCCGCCGCTCTAAGGCCCTCCGCGGGGACTTCAGATGGGGCGCCGACACCGCAGGGCGAGGACCGGGTGATCCCGGGGCCCAGCTGTGTATTCGCCGCCGCCACGACCCACTTGAGGGCCGCCACGACCCACTTGAGGATCCCCGCCCCCGCGGGCAGCGGGTGGGACTTCCTTTCGTGGCCTGGACTTCCGCCGGTGCCAGCCGCGGGGTGGAGGCGGGACTTCCCGTCGGGCCTGCGCGTGAAAGATAGCGGGAGGGATTTCCGGCGTGGGGCAGAGGCGGGGCGGGGACTTCCGGCGCCGGAAGTGTGGGGCGTTGGGCTGCCGGGTCTTGGGCCCGTGTCTGGCGGGGACTTGGGGACCTGTGCGTCCGCGTCCGTCCCGCGCGCCGCGTGGCTCGGAAGACACGGGCGGCAGCGAACTGCCCGGCTGGCACTGCGCGGTGGCGGGCTCGGCGGCGACGTGACAGGTGAGTGCTGGCCCGCCATCTTCAGCTCGGGACCACAGCCGCAAGCTGTGCGGCGGCGGCGGCCTCCCCTGGGCGGGGTTGTCCTGGGGGGGCCTCGCGCACCCTAATCTGGGCCCTGATTCCGCGCCCCTCTCCGACCCCGAGCCCGGCCGAGTCTCGACGGAGTTGGAACGCGCAGCCCTCGCCCAGAGCGGCTGGGGAGGCGGGTCCTTCGAAGCCCCCGGGAACCTCCCACCCGCGAGCGTGTCGGAGCCCGGGGTCCCCAGGCCCCATTGGGGGTGTGGAACCTCGCGAGGGGCGCCGCGACCTTGGATTGGAGCGACGGGCCGTGTCCAGCCTCGCGTCCTGCCGGGTGCTCGCACGGAGGCCCCGGCGCGTTTCCTTCCTTCCCGGGACCGGGCAGCCGCGCGCACCTGCTGTGCCGTGGCCTCGAGCTGACGCCCTCAGCCCCTTCCCCGGGAGTACCGACGGCGCTCTGAATTCCCAAGTGCTCCTTCTTCTAAGACGACGACTTGACAGTTAATAAGTTCATCCTTGATGCGAGCTCATTCTTTTAATAATTGAGGTCTTTAAATAGCGTTGGTGGTTTTCCGGTTAGAGATGCCCCCAGCCCAGCATCAGGTCCAGAATTGGCGAGCGTGCCTTCGACTGGGTCGACGACAGGACATCTTCAGCCTGATTACCGAGGCTGGACTGCGGGGCTGCCTTTGGTGGATGTCACTCAGCAGCTGAGTTTGTCGTTTGTCTTCCAGAATTCAGTAAGGGTACTTTTACAGTGAAGTGCTTTGAAAAACTCTACCGGCTTTTCAGCCACGTTTTGTATTATTAAATGCCACATGCAGAGTATAGCTTTTAACCTTTTCTTTTTTTTTTTGATTGTTGCGTGTTATTAACGTTCATGACATTTACTATTTAGTCAGTGTTTTTCTTCCGCCAAAAGTGTTTAAAAACGCCACTGAGTTTGGAATTGTATTGTTTTGTTTGTAGGGTATAGTAGGCATGTGGCACGCAAGGGCAAACCACTTGGGCAGAAGGAATGTTTATATTAAATTGATAAACTTGATCAATAGCATAGGGAGGTTGGATTCTTGGAGGGAACTATTTATACTTTTTTGGGTGTGTTAAAAAAAATCAGCAGGACCTTTTATTCATTAAACCTTCTTTTTAATTCAGTCATATGCCCTGTCATGAAGCTTCTCTGGTGGCTCAGATGGTAAAGAACCCACCTGCCAATGCAGGAGACACAGGTTTGATCCCTGGATCAGGAAGATTCCCTGGAGAAGGAAATGGGAACCCACTCCAGTATTCTTGCCTGGGAAATCCCATGGACAGAGGAGCCTGATGGCTACTGTCCTTGGAGTCGCAGAGTCAGACACGACTTAGTGACTTAACAAGAGCTAAAACCTCTTTGGAGAACCAAAACCTCTTTCAGATTTGTAGTTATTTGAAATGTGTGTGTTTGTGTAGAAATTCATGAGTGGGAAAAGATGACCAGTACATTGACTATTTGGTGAGGTGACCGAAAAAAGCAGGCAAAGCCCAGAGTAGCACCGGGTGGTTCATGGGGTTGAGGGAGGGGTTCAAGGCTCAGGGACAGGCTGGGGTGAGAATCTTGCAAGTTAGTAGTGAAGAAGACTGTTTATTTCTACCAAAGATACAGATACTGGACAAGCTGGTTATGTGATCCTTAAGGGAGACTATTGTTGAGGTGGAAGGAAGGTTAATACTGCAATTTTCACACTTTGTATAAGCAATTTGTAGAACCTTCTGAATGCATTAACTTCCCAGTTTATGCTTACGAGAGTATTTCTATTGATGAAGTTCTTAAGGGAGGAAACAGAGGCTCTCTGCTGTTTTACTTGGTTGGTTGAACTATTTAGAGATAGTCTCATTTTTTTCCTTGAGCTTTCACAGGGTTTTGATATGTTACCTTTGAAAAACATAACTTATAAACTGAGGGGGCTGGGATAAATTTCTGTGTTGAGAATCTTAATAACTGAGATGCTTTATGAAGTTAGTCATTTAACATGTGTGCTCTGAAAAGAGAATTATATATACCTTCCTGTTTTTTTTTTTTAGTCTGGGAGTTCTTTTTTATTGAGTAAAACATACAGTAAATTCATACAGTGTGTTAGTTGTAGATGTGCAGCTCTGTGGATTTTTGCTTATATATACATCTTTGTATAAGCATAAACCAGATCAAGATAGGGAACATTTGCAGTTACCTCTTCCACCTGGGACCTTTATTTTTTAAAGTGAAGAATATAATTTCTGGTTAAGATTCCTTTAAGTCACTTTGATTTCTTGGACAGCTTTTGTATATGGCAATTAAATAGTTTCTAAATGCTTCTATTAAAAAGTTATTGAAATACTCTTCAGTGGGATCATATGAGTTGCTTAAAGAATTTATGTTCAAATATTTTAAATTAAATATCAGTATCTTTTTTTGTGTGTATGTAAAATTCTGCCAACCACAGATTCTGCCATTGTTTTTCTTTTTACTTTTGTCTCAACTGTTTCTAATTTCTGTAGCTCAAATTTTTCAGATCTAAATTTCATGAAAAAGATTTATCCCATCATTTTTCCATCTAAAATTTTTTGTGAGAGACAGTTTTATTCTGTATTGCCTATATCTACCAGTAATATACTTTTCCCCCCTCGTGTGCAGAAGAACAGTTAAAAATGGTAAGGTATTGGACTTAGAGGCATGAGGGGTCAAAGTACTCATCTTTACTTTCAGTGTAGATTTCTCCCAGGTTTATACACGTTGCGTAGTTCTCTTTTCATCTCTAAACCTGTACAACCCTGCCTCCTTGTATTTTGACATTCAAAGTCATTGCAAAGACATAATACATTCAGTGTTAGGTCCTGATTTCTTCTCCATATCTGCTGTCTCATCTCAGTAATCTGATCTCTGTTTCACCTACCTGCTGCCTCAGAAACGGGCTCTCCTTGCTACCTCTCTCTTCTTCCCCCTGCCCACCCCAATCCATTCAGCCTCCTCTAATCTTAACTGTTATAATATATTGCCTTGACTGTTTCAATAACTGCTTAACTGGCTTCTCCATACATGGTTGTCTTACCTTTTCGTGTATTTTTTACGTAGCAGCCAGTCTACTATTGCTTATTTGCTTAAAAAATTTTAAGTGACTTTCCTTTTATTTTAGGATAAACTATAAACAAAAGATTAGATTCTAAGCTAATCTCTCCACTTACCTTGCACTGTTCTGTCCATTGTTTGCTGTATTATAGCTATAGTATTTGTTTTTTAATATCTGGGCATTTTCACATGCTATTCCTGTCCTTGAAATATCTACTCTCTTTTTTGTTTTCCTTGTGGTTAACTCTTAGAAATTCGTCAGTCTCAATTTGGATGCTGGCCTCTCAGAATGATCTTTGTAACTGTTTAGCTAATAGCTGGTCTCATAATATTTGCACATGTCTTTTGTAGCACTCTTCACAATTTATAACTTCTGTAAAAAGTTATGAGATTGTGTGTATAATATCTGTCTTCCAACTCAACTCTTAAGCATTCTGAGAAGGTAGGAACCAAGCCTGTTTTGTTCACTACAGCATTCCCAGGGCTCAGCCCATCCAGATGAGAGGATTACTGGTGAGTGACTTAATGAAGTAGTGCTGTTATCATTGTTGCTTTAAAGATGCAGAGTTAAGCCTTCAGAAGGTGGTTAAGTAACTTGACCAGGGTTACACAGCCTGTCAGTGGTAGATGTAGTGTTCATCCACCAGTCAGATATTTGAGGATGTGTTTATGTCAGGCCTAACAAATACAGTACAGTAGTGGCCCCAATTTACTGTGTCCCAGTCCTCACTGTGTTGATTGTGTAGTGGGGGAAACGCTTATTAAGTGAGCAAATCATCAATCAGATGTAAGTACAAGCTTGGCGAGAGTCATGAAGTGCTGTGGCTAGCGGTCGCCAAGGGAGGCTGTTCTGGGAAGTGACATTCAACCTGAGGCTTAATGATGGAAGAGAGCCAGCCCTTTGAGGAGTTGGTGGGGACTTAGGTTTGTATGACTCTCAAACTCATGTTAGTGAAACAAGGTGTGATGGATAACACAGATTCTTACTGTCCTGTGGGTAGGTGAAGTCTCTGCCCTCTGCTTGAATGGAGGTTGGCCTTGTGGCTGACTTTGACAGATAGAGTATCCAAAAAAGCAAGGATAATGGAAGGTATTTTTTTTTTAATGAGAATTTTAGAGATAAAAAGTTACCTTATTAAGTGTCCTTTTAAAAAAACATTTGAGAGTTAAATTTTGTCTATATAATGCTGCAAAAAGTAATTTTAATAAATTAGTGGATTTCAAATTTTAAAATCTAAACATAAGGAACTAATTGACCAACTTGAATGTACTTACTTTTTTGTTACCTTTTGTACAAGGCCTACACATGTTCAATTAGAGAGTCAAAAGATTTCTGGCTTTAGAGTAGATGTATACTTTTCCTGTTGCTCCTACTAAGTACAGCTAAACACAGTGGACATTAAATACAAAACAAATAAACAAACAAACAAAAAACAAATATGAGACTGAAAAGTAGAGAGAAGAAAGAAAACTGTAGGTGTATGGGGATCTGAGAACTGACTCAGGACTGAGTTCCTGGGTTTTCCTCTTGCCCCATACATCCTCGTCTTGGGCCTGGAGCACCCGCAACCCAGATATGCCAAAGGGCTCAGCAAGCCCCGAGAAAGCTGGCTTCTGACCAGAAGATCAGGAAAGGGACAGCCTGTCAGACAGAACATGCTTAGAAAACATTGCGGCCCCACCTCACACTGAGCATCCCAGAGGGGTGGGGAATCTAGTCTCTGATCCCTGACAAGCCTTGTGGGGACCACCCTGTGCTGGGTGGGATCAGACAGGCCTGGTGAGGAGCTGGGTTCTCATCTCTGTTGTGCGGTAACAAAGAACACCCTCCTCTTTGCTGTTGGAATGGCCTCAGAAGAAACCTAGCAAAAGTTCAGGAATTTTACCACCACCTGTGGTGATGAAGCCTGGAAAGGCACAGTAACAGGGTGCTGTAGGTTCAGCTCGGCAGTGTGAATAGAGGCCAGGGGAGCTTCACCTGGCATTGGCAAGGGGTACTTCCTCCTGGGTCAGAGGAGGCAGAGCGGGGAGCACTTGCTTCCATCCCCGCTTTCTATATCCACCTGGCAGAAACAAGGCCATGCCCTTGTTTGCTGGCTGGGCCAGTATCAGAAGAGGCCTGCTGGAAGACTTAGATCAGATCCCATGTCTGATAACAACTCCCAGCATACTGAGGCTTCTCCCACTGAGGGGGAAAATGTCAACTTGAATCAGAAGAGGTAGCTAACAGTCACACAGGAACGATGCAGATATTAGAATTGTTTGACAGGATTTTAAAGCAGCCATCATAAAATTTTCAGTGAGGAGATACTAACACTTGAAGCAAATGAAAAATAGAAAATCTCAGGAAGAAAATATGGGATGTAAATAAGAAACAAATGGACATTTTAGAACCGGGCAGTACAATAAATGAGCTTTTGGAATCCGTGAACTTGATGATAAAACAACGAAAATTACCCAGTCTGAACATTAGAGAGAAAATAGACTAGAAAAAAGTAAACAAAACCCCTGGGACCTGTGCCTTTAACAAGAGATCTGTCCTTTTTATCAGAAAGAGAGGAGAGATACAGTGGGGCTGAAAATATGTTTGAAGAAACACTGGCTAGGTATTTCCCAAGTTTGGCAAGCCATAAACCTATATATTCTAAAAGTATGGTGAAGCCCAGGCAAGATAAATTCAAAGAAATCTCTGCTAAGCTGCCTCATAGTCAGTATAGAACAGACTTTTGGACTCCGTGGGAGAAGGCGAGGGTGGGATGATCTGAGAGAATTGCATTGAAACATGTATATTATCAAGTGTGAAACAGATCGCCAGCACAGGTTGGATGCATGAGACAAGTGCTCAGGGCTGGTGCACTGGGAAGACCCAGAGGGATGGGATGGGGAGGGAGGTGGGAGGGGGGATCAGGATGGGGAACACATGTAAATCCATGGCTGATTCATGTCAGTGTATGGCAGAAACCACTACAATATTGTAAAGTAATTAACCTCCAACTAATAAAAATAAATGAAAAAACAAAACAAAAAGTATGGTGAAACCCAGGCAAGATAAATTCAAAGAAATCTCTGCTAAGCTGCCTCATAGTCAGACTTTTGAAACTCAAGATGAAAAAGCAGTGGGAGAGAGAAATGTCCCTTTGTCTATAGTTGATTTCTCATCACAAACTGCAGAGGCCAGAAGGAAGTATTACGTTTTTCAAGTGCTAAAGGAAAAGAACCGTCAGATCAGAATTTTCTATCAAGTGAAAACATCATTCACATGATTTGTTACCAACAGAGCTACCCTGAAATAATAGAGGAAGTTCAACAGAAAGGAAACGCTGTAGGAACACCAGGAAGGAAGAAGAAACAATGGAGAGAGTAAATGAATTGGTAAATTCAATAGACATTTCTTCTCTGACTTAGGTTTGAAAGTTGAAGCACAGCTGTCTGATGTGGTTCTCCGCGTGTTCGGAGGAAACACTTAAGATGATTATGTTGTCAGTGGGGAGGGCAGACGGATGTGGAGGAAGTAAGGTTTCAACACTCACCAGGAACTGGTAGAACGTTGGTGGTCAGCAGACTAATAAGCTGTGAAAAGATAATGAAAACTTAGCAGCCACTAAGAAAAGTTATACAAAAGAAACTAAAAAACAAGAGAAATCGGAACAAAATTCCAAAAAATGATCAAATAACCTACAAGAAGGCAGAAAAAGAAACAAAATGAGAAAACATTGAATTACGCACTTTGCTCAAGTAGGATTTACTCCATGGATTCTAGTTTAGATCAATATTGAAAATCAACATTGTAATTGCCTTGTTAGGAGCTTAGAAGAAAGCCACGTGCTCATATTAAGTGACGCAGGAAAAAACATGACACAGTTGACACTTGTGTAACTCTCAGAATGTGAACAGTAGAGGGGGACTTTGCAACTTGATAAAAACGATGTGTTTACCCAAAACCTACAGCTAATATACTTAATGGTGAAATCTGAGTATTTTTATCTCAAGATCCAAATAAAGAAAGGATGTTTGCTGTTACTTCTAATTCAGCATAGCACTGGAATTTCTAGCCAGATCAGTAAGATAAGAAAAGGAAATAAAGGCATACAGATCAGAAAGGAAGAAGTAAACTGTCGTTTTTTACATGACACAGTAGTCCACATAGGAGATGCTAAATAATCTACAGAAAAATCTTGAACTAGTAAATGAGTTCAACAAGAGCGTAAGATACAAGCTTATTACATACAAATCAGTTGTATTTTTTTATACCAGCAATTGAAAATTGCACAAAAATACAATCTGCAGGGTTATTTGTATATATAGAACTTTTACGCGAAAGCTACAAAGCTGAGGAAGGAAATCAAAGGTGATCTGAAACAGATCCTCTGTTTCCATAGATTGGAAGTGTCTACATAATAGAGATGCCAGTTCTCTCCAGATTAGTCAACAGATTAAATGCAGTTCTTATCAAAGTTCTATCAGGATTTTTGCAGATATGGATGAGATTATTCTAAATTTCTGTGGAAAGGCAAAGGAACTAGGATGGCTAAAGCATTGTGGAAAAGATGTGATAGAAGTCACAGATGTCTGATTTCAAGATAGCACAGAACAGTGGAACAGAATAGAGAACCAAGAAATAATCCCATAGAAATATAACCAATTGATTTTTGAGCAAGATGCCAAACTTTCTCAATTTGATGTAGGATCGATTCTCTTTAGCATATGGTGCTAGAATAATAGGATACCACCAGAAAAAAAAAAACAAAAACCTTGATCTAAACTTCACGCTTCATTAAAAAAACAGCCCCAGAATGGCTTGTAAATTTAAATGTAACTGATAAATCTAAAATTTTAAGAAGAAAACAGAAAAATTTGGAAATTTAGGATTGGTGGAAAGTTCTTAGACATGACTCTAAAAGTATGAGTCTTAGAAGAAAAATAATGGATGAGTTAGGACTTGATCAAAATTTAGAAGTTTTGGCAGAGTGGGTTGTGTGTGAATTATATCTCAAACATTTTTAAAAACTTTTTAGTTTTTTTTTCCCCTTTTAAACATACAGCAGTCTTACTGTTGGCCTTTCATTCAGAAGAAGTAGAAACTTCACTTCAGTTCAGTCGCTTAGTCGTGTCTGACTTTTTGCAACCCCATGAACCGCAGCACGCCAGGCCTCCCTGTCCATCACCAACTTCTGGAGTTTACCCAAACTCATGTCCATTGAGTTGGTGATGCCATCCAACCATCTCATCCTCTGTTGTCCCCTTCTCCTCCTGCCCTCAGTCTTTCCCAGCATCAGGGTCTTTTTAAATGAGTCAGCTCTTTGCATCAGGTGGCCAAAGTATTGGAGTTTTGGCAAAAACCTGTATGTTATTGTCATAGTAGCTTTATTTGTAATAGTAAGAAACTGGAAAGGGCCAGAATTCTTTGCAGTAGGTGCATGGTTAAGACAGCTGTGCTGCATCCACAGGGGAGCAGCGCTAGCAGTCCACAGGAGGTGGCTGTGGTCCATTGGTGGGGGCAGACCAAGAGCCCTAAGCTCAGGATCCCCAGAGAACACACACTCTGCCGCAGCAGAATGGGAAGTGGAGGGCTGTGGGCTGGCTCCAGAGAAGGTGGGACACTGAGAGCCATTTTACAGTGAGGACCTACAGATACTGTTGGTTGTTGAAGAAGGAAGAAATAAAAGTACATGCTTAAAATTACTTGCATTCACAAAGGTATGCTGGGAGAAGGAGGGGCCAGTGAGAGCAGAAAATGAGGAAGTGATATCCAAAACATAAATCTGCAGTTGAAGAAGGAGTGTGTCCTGTGTAAATACACTGCTTAGAGTCATATTAACTAAGTGATGTGATTGTATTGTGAGGAGTTGTTGATGGTAACAGGAAATGAATAATGTCCAAAATGGGGAAAGGAAAATGTGTTATGTGGATATTGGGATGCCATGCAGGATTTTGTACGCTGTATGATGGTGGCCCTCACCCTAGGTGAGCCCCGCGAATGTGGCCGGTTCCCGGTGAGTGGTGGTGTGAGTAAGAAGGAAACTGGAGCTTACAAACGCTGACAGACCTCATTTGGATTTTTTACTTGACTCAGATGAGAGTATTTTAAACTTGGGTTAAATAAAGCATTAAAATTTTATTTGTCTTTATCTTTTTAATGTGCTTACTAGAATATCTACAGTTGCTTTTGGGGCTTGCATTGAATTTCTCTAGGAGGGCATAGCTCTGGAATCTGTAGCTGGAAAATGCAGTTAGAATTGGTTCCCCAGGGGAGTTGGGGAGTCTGCAGAGAGTGGGCTAAGGGAGAGTTCTCTATTTTAAACCCTTCTCTGCTGTTGATTTTTTAAAAGGGTGTTAATGAAATTTGATTAAAAAGTTACCTCTTTAACAAAGGCTGTGGTCTCTACCTTAAAATATGTGACTGTATCACATTCTAATTTACATAGTAAATGTTAACATAATAAGGTAATTTGCATTGAGCAGTTTCATTCCTATCCCCTGTTTTTCCTTCATTTCAGTTTGTCATATCAGAAATACAGTACTAGTTTTTCCTGCTCCTGTTTAGCTTCTTGCAGGAGTGACCAGGACCTCATCTTCCAGAAGTAATGCCCACAGAAAGCGGGAGTTGTTCAACTGCTCGCCAAGCAAAACAGAAGCGCAAATCTCACAGCCTTTCCATACGGAGAACTAACAGCTCAGAGCAGGAGAGGACGGGCCTGCCCAGAGACATGTTAGAGGGACAGGTGAGTGTCTGGTGAAGATGTGAATCATGTCGACAGTGTTCAAAAAATAGCCCATTGTATACAGATCTCCAAAGTGGAGGGAAAGTGTGGGTTACCAAAACAAGCAGGCCCCCATAGACCAGAGTCAAGTGCAACAGCCTACAGAGGCAGAATTTAGTTTCCAGGTTAGTGTGTTACATATTGTAATAAATGTGAGTGTGACAGTCTGGTTTAGTTTTTATTCTTTGCACAGGCAGATTGACAGTGTACTTTTAGGTTTCTGTCTCAGAGCCTCAAGAGGAGAGCAGAATCAGGTATAATGATCTTTGTTCTCTGAGGAGTTCTTGGAATCTGATCTTTCAGCAACTTTTCTTGTCTTTATCCTATGTCTGCTGTGTGAGTATATCTGCTGCTTATTACATTATATGTCTTTCTGATCATTCGATGCCCCCTTTATTCAGTGATCTAATATTTTATTGACAAAGATAAGTTTGCTTCTACTTTTTCTAGTTCTTCTATAATGAGTAAAACGTTAGGTTTTTAAAAGAACATTGTTGTTAAGTCTAAATAAAAGCATATGTTACAGTAAAATAAATTGTAGATGTATCTGCTATATGTTTATATAGGCATAACAGTCATGTCCGACTCTGCAACCCCATGGACTGTAGCCCACCAGGCTTCTCTATCCATGGGATTTCCCAGGGAAGAATACTGGAGTGGGTTTCCATTTCCTTCTCCAGGGAATCTTTCTGACCCAGGGATCAAACCCGTGTCTCTTGAGTTTCCTGCTTTGGCAGGTGCAATCTTTACCACAGTTGTAAAAGTATAAATACTGGGAATTCCCTGGTGGGCCAGTGGTTAGGACTGGACATTTCCACCACAGGGGGCATGGGTTCAATCCCTGGTCAGGGAACCAAGAGGATCTGCCCCCCCCCCCCCCCGGTATATATATAAAATCATTCCTTTGCAGTTAGAACTGATTCATCCACCACAGTGTTACAGGGAAATATGGCATAAATCTGAGAAATTGGCTCATTTGCTGTTGACCTAAGAAGCTGGGACGTGAAGGGTGTGCCGACAGGATGCAGCTGTGTGTGCTCAGAAACTGGTGCTGTTGCTGGCGGGTGGGAAACGTTCACTTAGGGTCCTCTTATGTACTGACTGGGTGAATAATGAATTGGTTACATTTTAACTTAATTTGGAAAAAAAATTGTAGATTGAAGGGGCCTCCAGAATGGCTTTGCCTGTTCTTGTGAGCTTGGGTGGTGGATGGCCACAGCGAAGTGCCACAGATGGGAGGTTAAATGGCAGACGCTTTTTTCTCTCTGTCCTGGAGGTGGGTGGCTGGAGGTCAGGTGTGGGCAGGCTGGTCCTCCTGAGGCTTCCTTTTTGGATATGGACCCAATCTTCTGTGTCCTCACATGGTCCTCCTCACTGGTGTCTGTCCTCATCTCTTCTGACAAGGAATGCTTGAACCAGAGCTGTGCAGTGAAACTTCTGTGGTGGAAGGTTCTGGATCTGTGCTACCTGTTTGGGCGCCCAGAGCCACATGTAATTGGTGGGACAGAGGAATTTAAAAATCGTTATTAACCTAGTTTTAATGTTAGTCAGATGTGACCGTCAGCTCCCCTACTGGACAGTGCAGGTTGTCTAAGGGACTTTTAAATTGTTAGTCACCTCAGTTTCCAGCAGTGACCCTTTGTTGCCACCCCTGATGGCATCTTTGGGGATAACTCCGTGTGTGGGGCCGTGTTCTCAGGGCTTCCGTGCCGTCCCCATTGTGATGTAGAGCCAGCTGCCTCTCAGGTACCCCTTTGTGAGGGTCATTCAGAACCCTCCAGGTGGGTTGGTGCCTGTGGGCGGACAGGCAGCTCCCCGGGCTGGTGGGGGGGGGGGGCGCTTGGCCCAGTCCCGTGGCAGCAACGGTGGTGATGGTGTTGGATGCGGGCACCTGGCATGGTAGGTGTGGCAGACCTCAGGTGCAGGAGTCTGATACCTGGGGCATCTGAGTGGAGCCATGGGCGATGCTCTGGACGGGATTACAGGCTCTCAGCTGTCGGGTAGCCTTTATGGGAATTGGATTCTTGAGTCAGAAGCAAGAAGGCAGCGGTGTTAAGGGTGGAGTGGGAAACTCATGTCTGCCCTGGAGGCACTGACCCAGGCTGGGAAAGGGGCCTGCCTCTTCCATGCCAGCTGTGCAAATGCAGACTCTTCTAGAAGCTTCACTGAGTCGTAGCTTCGTAGTGAAGCCCCTGCAGAGGCCTGGGACCTTCCATGCTGGTGTTTTCATGCAGCTGATTCACCTTTTGCTCTTATAGCTGAATTCACTTTTCTTCCTTGGAGCAATCTTTAAGTGCTGAGTAGAGTTAACAGGAAGTGTCCAGTTTACTCTGCTTGGACCACAGTGGATGTAAGGACTGTGAGGCACCACTTACTAAGATTAACTTGTGATGCCACATGCTGGAGCATAAGGGCTGTTCATAGCTTCATCTCCCACAGACTTGGAGATTTTGAATATGCTTGTCTCTGTCCTTGTAAAGGGAGTAGTTATGTGTTTGAAGACCTGCTTGGCCTCAAAACCTGTGCCATCCTGGGGAGCCATTTACACAATTTGTTTTTAGTTTCAGCTGTAGGAATTTGAAACTTAAAAGTTCTTTTGAGTGTTTATGTAGAAGAAATAAAATGTGTAAAGATATAAAATAAGAGCTTGAATGATAATTCCCTTTAGAAAAAGTGTACTAGTACTCAGTGTCAGAGCTCCTCATTCACTTATTCATTCACTTTCAGCAGAACCTTCTTTCTCTGCAGGATTCTAAGCTGCCTTCCTCGGTTCGCAATACTCTTCTGGAATTGTTTGGTCAAATAGAAAGAGAATTTGAAAACCTTTATATTGAAAACTTAGAATGTGAGTATTGCTCTTATTTTAAACACTTTTATAACCTGTCACTTCTCCATATGGATATTTGAGAGTTTCATCTCTGGGTTACATTCACCTTTGTACCCCTTTTCTGTTCTGCTTTCACGAGCTTGGGGGGCTTATGATGGCACTTGTTTACTATCTTCCAGCTCCGCACACTCAGGTCAGGGTCTGGGGGCAGGTGGGTGGGGGCATCTGTCTCCTGCTGGAGTGAGTTGTGACCACAGGTGAGGACAGAGGCCCATCTTGCTGGCGTTCCCACACCCCACGTCTCCTTCTCTTCCCCATTCACTGCCTTCCTCTTCCTTGAGTCCACTGTGATTCAGTACTTCCTCTTCCTTCTTCACCTTCCACTGTGATTCAGTACTTTTCTCTTCACTTTTTTTCTGTTTTTGATCGCACTGTGTGGCTTGCGTGACTAGTTCACTGACCAGCGAGTGAACCCAGGCCATTGGCAATGAAAGCCCAGAGTCCTAACCACTGGACTGCCAGGGAACTCCTGAGTTTTTTCTTTTTCCCTTTCAACTTTTAATCTCTGAGATGTGTAGCCCTCCTTTGATGCTCTGGTGCCAGACAATAGTAACAATAGTCAGGTTTTGTTATTGTACTTTTCCCCTAATGATTTCAGGGGAGACTGTATTTTATTGAGTTTCAGACAGGACCAGAACAGTGTTTTTAAGTGCACAGAACAAGGTACAAAGGACGTGAACCCTGTTGAAATCCAGGAGCCCTGTTTGGGGGTTAGCAGCACAGTGTCTTTCTGGTGTGGCATGAGTGGTGGACTTTGTGTTTTGGAATGTCTTTGAGTTTTTTGAAACTCTGTGGCCATCCTCTTGTTTACTGGGATATCATTCATGTGCTTGTTTAGACAATTGTAACATGCAACATTTTTATGTGCTCAGTTTTGGAATTGGTGAATATACCTGAAAAGCACATTATTTTACTTTTCAGTGCGTAGAGAAATCGAGACTCTTAATGAGCGCTTAGCAGCTGAAGGACAAGTGATCGATGGAGCAGAACTGAGTAAGGGCCAACTCAAGACTAAAGGTGAGGCTGGCTTCCTGCGGGCGACTGCAGGGAGGAAGTCTGACTCCGGTGCAGGGAGGATTCGCTTCCTCTCCATGGTCAGCAGGCTTGAGTATCATCCCTTGGGTGTGGGTGTGGAAGGACGGGGAGGCTCCAGGAAGCCCGTTTCTCCTGGTGTGGACACACCCCGAGTTTGCACTGTCCTCCGTGTCCTCGAGCTGTCTCCCTGTCCCAGCTCTGATGTTCTTGCTTGTGTGATTTTCTTGACGGTTGGTTCTGTGTCTCTGCAGCTAGTCACAGCACCAGCCAGCTTTCTCAGAAACTGAAGACCACCTACAAGGCCTCCACCAGCAAGGTATGTGTGGCTCTCGGGCCATCATGAGTGTGTGGGTTTGCACATAGTGCGATGGGAAGAGAGGAACCTAATATTTAAGACAAGTATTGTCGATGTTAAGTGGCTCCAGGGCATAGGCACCTGGATGCTACCTATGCTGCTTACTGTGGCTGACACATCATGTTTTAGTAAGTGTGGTCTTTTTTGTGGGAAAGTACATTTTTTATTGTTAATGTGGCTTGATAAGGAGATTCTGAATTCAGAGAAGCTTATAAATGGGTATAAAGCAATGGAACTTCCATTCTGAGTTGTAGTTACATTTTAGTTCATTTCTTCTTTAATTTGCAAAGTATGATTAAAAAGTGAAGGTCTAGAGGCAGAATAGAGACATTTGTCACATTTTGCTGTTTTATAAATCATCATCTGATCTTTTTAAAGTGGGAAGGATTTAATTATTTGGGAATTAGTTTATCTCTGGGAGAATACTACTATGAAGTAATATTTTGAGGTGATTTGTGTGCATTTCTGCTTTGGGGTATTTGGAATAAACAAGATAAATTACCTGCCTAACTTAAACGAGTGTTTAGTACTTTTGCTTAATCTTAGGAGGAAGTTGAAATTTGTGGTGAGTCTGCTATGAAGGCATAAATGGTTTTTGTTAGCTTTTAATTTTTCCCTTAAGTAACTTAAACTTGTATCCACAGTGAGATGAACTGCAATTTAAGGAGCAGCTTCAGTCTTAGGGTATTTCTGCTTATTTGAAAGTCTTTGATAATTTTTTTTTTTTAAATATGAATATTGCCGACATTTTCTTGTGTTTCCTTTGATAACTAGGATGTAAGTGGCTTATTAAAATTTTTTTGTTCTGTTATATCTAGCTTATGGTTAGTAGTTTTGAATTTTAAATAAATTAACTTTGGGTACTTTTTAAAAACGTCAAGTGACATTATGTTCTTACTCATTTAACTTCTTGTTATGTTGTTTTGAATTCTATCGTTTATTTCAATTTATGTATACAGTGTATGGTCTTAGAATTCCAAAATTTTATGATCATTTCTGAAGTAGAGGAAGAAAGGATTATATAGAGTCACCTCTTACTATGAGTAGTAAAACTTAAGATTTGAGCAAAGGTAAGGATGTGTACAATAATTGCTTTAAAAAATGTATTAGAAATACTAAAAGTCCCAGTCATTTTAGAGACTAAAAATTTATCTGAATTTATAAGGAACATACTAGTAATGATCTTAGTAGCCTGTGCACACACCTTCAAGAGTGAAGGTGAAATGGAGCCCAGGTCTGCTCTGCTGCAGCAAGTGTTCTTGGAGGAGCGGACAGGTTCAGGCTCCTTACCCCCAGCAGACCCGCCCCTCCTGGGGCCTGTGGACTGGCCTCTGAGGCCTGTGGGGGCAGCACCACACGCTAACCAGCAGACTGTTTCCCAGGAACTTGTGAAATTGTTCACGTGGGTTTTTATAAAGATAAGTTTCTTTTGTTGTGAAAAAACCTCTCTTTGTTGTTGGTCAGTCTTGCTATTCGTGTCCAACTCTTTGCTCCCCCATAGACTGTAGCTCGCCAGGCTTTCCTGTCCTTCACTGTCTCCTGGAGTTTGCTCAAACTCATGTCCATTGAGTCGGTGATGCCATCCAACTATCTCATCCTCTGTTGTCCACTTCTCCTCCTGCCCTCAATCTTTCTCAGCATCAGGGTCTTTTCCAGTGAGTCGGCTCTCTGCATCAGGTGGCTGAAGTATTAGAACTTCAGCATCAGTCTTTCCAAAGAATACTCAGGGTTGATTTTCTTTAGGATTGACTGGTTTGATCTCCTTGCAGGCCAGGAAACTCTAAAAGAGTCTTCTCCAACACCGCAGTTCAGAAGCATCAGTTCTTTGGTACTGAGCCTTTTTCATGGTTCAACTCTCACATCCGTACGTGACTATGAAAAGAACCATAGCTTTCACTATATGAACCTTTGTTGGCAAAGTGATGTCTTTGCTTTTTAATATGCTGTCTAGGTTTGTCATAGCTTTCTTTCCAAGGAGCAAGCATCTTCTAATTTCATGACTGCAGTCACTGTCCAAAGTGATTTTGGAAACCAAGAAAATAATATCTGCCACTGATTCTCCTTTTGTTTCTCCTTCTGTTTGCCATGAGGTGATGGAACCGGATGCCATGATCTTAGTTTTTTGAATGTTGAGTTTTAAGCCAGCTTTTTAACTCTCCCAAGTCTTTGAGACCCCATAGATTATAGCCTGCCAGGCTTCTCTGTCCATGGGATTTCCAGGCAAGAATACGGGAGTGGGTTGCTATTTCCTCTTCCAGGGGATCTTCGAGACCCAGGGACCAAACCTGCATCTCTTGCATCTCCTTCACTGGCATCAGCTGGTGGATTCTTGACCACTAGTGCCACCTGGTGCTGGTGTGCTGCAGTCTGTGGGGTCATACATGACTGAGCAACTGAACGCTGACAGGGAACTACAACAGGCGCCACCTGGGACGCCCTTTGTGTTTTAGAGTAGTTTAAATTTTATTTTAGTGCAAAGGATAATTCGGAAGCATCCTTCTGCTTTTGCATCACAAGTGTTCCCTGGAGGTAATTCAGTCTGTCTCATGGGCCTCTGTGCAGTTATGCCTGAGTCCATATTTGGAAAGCAGTGATTCAGTGGTCAGAATGTGGCATGCACCTGGAAGCAGCGCCTGAGACCATCTGCTTGACGTCATCAGCTGCAATCCCTGTCCTCCAACTTCACTGGAAATGTGGTTGGCACGAGTCTCGGCCATGACCCGCGTTTCTGCTGGGCAAGTGGGGGCAGTTCATATCTGAGAAGTTGCCCACCACTTGTCATGGGCTTTGTCCCCGCCCCTCCTGAAAGTGTCTGGATGGCTTGTGGGATGTCAGTCCCCCAACCAGTGATGGAACCTATGCCCTTGGCAGTGAATGTGCAGAGTCCTGACTGTGGCACCACCTGGGAAGTGCTGTCCCTCCTTTTACACTTAAGCCAAGTCAGGAGTGTGTACTGAAGAGTGAATTTGTCTGCTGGAAGTCTGTTTCAGCCTTTCACTGTGTCAGGAATCATTTGAAGACTCATCTTGGTGGTGGTGCAATAGTGGACTGTGTTTTAAGTGTTTATATAAAAAATAAATGTAGATGCATTTTTAGTGCTTTGCTAAATCAGTGTTTAAAGTAGCTATAGAATACCTCCCACTTTTTTTTTAACTTGGTTTTACCATTTCAGTATTCTGATTAACTTTAAAGGCAGAAAAGCCATCTTTTATCCCAGAACAATTAAAAAACCAAACCCTTTGTGTTTTGTTAGCGTCTCCCTCAGGCCCTTCCCTTATGAGAGAAAGGGGGGACTGCATGCTGTGTGGGTCACATAGGATGCCGCCTCCTGACCGCTGTGCCTGAGTGTTCGTGCCAGCCTGTGTGCTGCCTGAGGCCAGGGCCCGCTGGCCCTGCCCTGCCCTGCCCCCTGCCCCCTCCGGTGCAGGACTGGCTGAGACCGTGCTCAGTGACTTCACCTGTTATCTTTTCATTCCTTCCTGCCTTAGATTCTTTTTCTCCTGGTCATGTGTTTGGTGTGAATTACTAAAAATAAGAAAAGACAGATCTCCCAATAGTAAGAGTAATTAGGGTTAAGGGTTTGGGGTATAACTTCCTGACTTTTTATGTCCTTTTTTTTTTTTTTGAGAATTTGGAAATGTTGTGTGATAGTTTGGGTTTGTGTATGAGGACATGTAAGGACAGACAGGCAAGCAGGTGGTCGGGGGTGGTTGTGGGGTTCTTCTGAGGCCTTTGCCCTGCTTTGTGAGATCCAACTGCACCTACACTATGTTGCTATAATGTTTTAAATTTTCTTTTCAATGATTTATGCATTTTCCAAACACATTGTCTTATTTTTTTTTTTAACTGAAACATACTTGCTCAGTAAATTCCATCACAATTTCAGATCGTCTCCAGCTTTAAGACCACCACATCCCGGGCAGTGTGCCAGCTTGTGAAGGAGTACATCGGCCACCGGGATGGCATCTGGGACGTCAGTGTGGCAAGGACGCAGCCCGTGGTGCTGGGGACGGCGTCTGCTGGTGAGTCTGGAACCACCCCAGCCTGGAGCAGGGCTTCCCCTAGAGGCAGTGCGGCCAAATGCTTGGCTATGTGCCTATCGGCATCTGAGTGAGTGGCTGCGTTTGGAACCACTCACTGTCCGGGACACTGTCCAGTGGCACAGGGTGGATTGCCTCTCCATGGCTCTAGGTAGTTGTGATTGGCTTTCTTGTCAGCCGTAGTCAGTGTACATTTGCTTTGATAGTGTATTTCACTTTTCCCCACTCGACAGGTCCTTCCAAGGATGTGCTGTATGGTCTGACAGCGCCATGCTGGCCTGGTGTAGGGGTTCCACTGCCAGGAGTCCTGGGGCGGAATCAGAGAGCTCGTTCTCCTTGGAGAGAAAGTGTCTTCTGAGAGCTATTAACCTAATAACCCTTCAGAGAAAGTTCCCGAAATTAAAAGTGTGCTTACTTGTGGAAAAGGAGGGCCAACTTGTGAGAAGTTATGTGCTAAATCCAGCCTTTTTGAGTGGAAATAGGAAATGTAAAGTCATTAGAATGATGAAGGAAGTTTTCTGTTGTTTAAAACTGTGTTTATACATGAGCACCCCAGATTATTTTGGAAATTTTAGCTTAAAGGATACAGATTCTCTTTTATGATTATTTCTGAAATCTCACATGGATAATCAGCACTTTTTATCAGGTTTCCTTAATGAGTGTCCTTTTTATCTTTGTTTTGGAGAGGTCCACAGAGCATGGATTATCTCAGATAATTTGGAACTGGACTTGGGTGCTACTTGCATTTGAATATAGCTTGATGTTCTGAAAAGTCTCACTATTTCAACAAGGTGACGAGCCTGTGACCCATGGACCCTGATGTCTCAGGTCCTAGGCCTGGTGCTGGCAGCATGGCCATGCCCCGGGAGTCAGGTTCCCCTGCCAGTTCCATGGCCTTGGGTGGGTCACTGTCCCCCTGTCCTCTTGTATCAGTTGGATTACAGAGGAGTGTGAGCAAAATCCCATGAGGTACTAGTGGTGATGAAACTTCTCAGCTTTAGAGTTTTTATCCTCCTCTTTAATTAAAAAGACTAATGTTGGCAGCAACTCACTTCTCTTTGTTTGGACCTTGCAGATCACACGGCTCTGCTGTGGAGTATCGAGACGGGGCGGAGCCTCGCCAAGTACACGGGCCATGTGGGGTCAGGTGAGCCGTAGATCGCGGGGTGTCCCCTTATGGGGGCCGGGCCTCGGCCTCTAGCCTTGCATGGTCTGGGACTGACGTGTGTGCACTGGCTTCGCACTGTCCAGTTGCCAAGGCTCCGTGGTGCAGAGGTGCTGTATGTTGGCCCTGTGGGTGCTGGTGCCCGCTGGGCTCCTTGCTGTGGGCACTGTGGACTGTCCCACTTGCCCCTCTTCCTTCCAGCGCCCCGGCTCTGGGCCTGTGTGTCATTGCCCCTGGCCAGCTTACCCTTCACCCTGCACACAGACTTAGTGGTGGTGTCCATTACCCACATCCAGGGTCTGCCATGTCCCCCACGGACTTGGGTGAGCACCTCCTCTCCCCCTCCTCCCTGGCACCTCTCCTGTCCCATCAGTGGGGGTGTACCGCTGTCTCATCGGGGCTGTGGGCCAGGTCCTGCTTGGCCCCCCACCCCTGCCTCGTCCACCGTCTCCTCCAGCTGGACCCTTATCCATCTCCTTTAGCATCGTACCTGGGGGCTGCTGCTCCTGCAGTGGGTGTGACATGCTGAGTACTCAGCCTGAGCATTAAGAAAGTGTTAGCTTGTGTGACAAACCACGGGGGCCTCATGTGCATCCTTCTCACTGCCCATCTCCACTTCTCAAAGTCAGCCACTTGAAACAGTTTTAAATCTTCTGTTCTTTCCTTCCATTTAGAAAAATAGCCCGTCTTATTGTTTCTTACTTTTTTGAGTTTTAGACGAGAGAGGGGCTCCTGTTAAGAAGGGAGATGGGCTCTGTGCTCCTTGTCCTCATCACAGCACAGTGCGGCCCACAGCTCCCCCGGCATGTGCCTCACTTGCAGTCCCCAGCTTTGCTGTCCTGAAGGGAGTAGTGGTCTTATTTCTGTGCAGATCGTGAGCTCGTGGCTTCTCTGGAGGGTGGGCGTGTGGGCAGTGAACAGTGTCCCTCACCATAATCTACCTCTGCCTTTTGTAATTAAGTTTTCTTTTTTCATCCTGGTTTACTTTTAGCTTTCAGTGACTTCTCAGTGTTTAAGAGATCAAGTATTGTTTTCTTGTGTAGCCGATTCTTGAGTGATTTGGTAGTTCATATTTAGTTATTTTGTGTTGTATTTCTGTTCTCTTTATTCATAGCTTAATGGAATGAGAAGATTTAATATTGAACTATTATAATTCTTTTTAGATTTTAAATTTAACCTTACAGCATACACTGTAGCTGTAATAGATATTGATGATATATTCTTATTGTAAACCTGTTTTTCAACATTTTTACTTTGCAGTAAATTCCATAAAATTTCATCCATCAGAACAGTTGGCGCTCACTGGTATGTTGATTTTTTTTTACTTTATTGAATAGTTACTGCTGATCTGAAAACATCTGTCATTCCTTTTCTTATCAGTAGCATCAGGATTAGCCATGCTATTCACAGAAGTTGGTCGTTAGTAGACATTTCACAAGTTGCATGAAAAATGAATAAAGAAAACAACACCAAGGGTTATTTTTAACCAGCAGTGGCTTGTGAGTTAGTTTGGTTCTCCTGGAGGTCTTTTACAGAGCCTATCTCTACTGCTCACTCTCTGGCTCTCAGGCTCTCTCAGACCTCGTGGGCATAGAAAGGAGGTCAGCGGTCCTGGGTTGGGCACCTGCAGGGCTCATATCTTCACTTCTTCCCGAGTGGTCCTCTCAGAAAGAGCTGTGGTCCCTTGGGTTTGTCTTCACCTCACCTAATGGTCTCACAAACACTTTCATGGTCCCACTGAGGAGTTTGCCCATAAAACTGTGTGACCCTCTGTAACCTGAAGGGTGAATGTGTGTCTAGACCAGTGATCAGCAGGCTTTTCTGTGAAGCACCAGAGTACCTGTTTTCATCTTGAGGCTGGTTTGAACAGGCCTGCACCTGTGGACAGGTGACAGCTAGTGAACGTCTGAGCTGACCTCTGGGGAGCAGTCAGCTGGGAGTGAAGCCTTGTTATGGGGGCCGTTTGTTGTGCAGTCGGGGAGCTGGAGGGAGACCAGGGACAGCTGGGCTGGAGAGAGGGGGTTGAAGTCGAGACGTGTCAGGAGACTGCGGTGGGGACAGAAACTGGCAGAGTGGCAGCCTGGGGAGAGGAGGCACATGGGGCTAGGACTGGATGCCGGCTCGAGAGGCCGGAAGGTCAGGCACTTTGATGCCACAAGGCCCATGCTGCTATCCGCTGCTTTCGGGGAGCTTTGCAGCTAGGGAAGGTGGAGTCCAGACGGTGCTCCTGTGTGGGGTGGAGGTGGCCCTTTGGCACGTCTGCAGGCCATCTGTGCCTCTCAGCAGCCCTCTGTCTTTCCTGGGTCTGAGCACCCCTTGAGGCCTGGCTACTGACATTGAGGTCTCGGTGCCAGCTGCTCTCTGACCGGGGCGAGGTGCCTCCTGGTTCAGCGGACGGGATTGTGCACTCGAGTTACTGTGGACTTGGGTGTCTGTCGTCTTAGATTAGCCAGGTGGGGAATGAAATCCACACCTTGTGAGTTTTCTGAACCTTCAGAGCTTTCCACTTTGGGATTGGGGGAATTATTTTTATAGGTAATTATCTCTGGGCACCTTTGCTATTTCTGGGAGCATCTCAGAAGAACCTGTTTAAGTCAGGTTGATCTCTTGTGATCTCTCAAGGAGTGGACTTAACTGGGCCTCACCCGTGCTTGTCTGCGTGCCGGGTAACGCCCCCCTCTCCTGCCTTCTCTCCTCAGCCTCTGGAGATCAGACTGCCCACGTGTGGAGGTATGCAGTCCAGCTGCCTGCTCCTCAGCCTGCGGCCGACTCTAGTGTAAGCAGCATGTTTACTTACCCTGAAAGCACGACCTGGGGTATGTCGGTGGGTTCTGGACATCTGTGAGTTTTAGGAGAAACTTAATGGTATCTGTTGTGGACTGAATGTGTGTGTCCCCAAATTCATAGGTTAGAACCCTCACCCCGGGGGGCTCTCCGTGGAGATGGGCCTCTGAAGAAGTCACTAAGGTCAAGTGAGGTTGCAGGGTGGGGCTCTGACCAGCAGGATTGGTGTCTGGAGGAGAAGAGGTGCCCGAGGGCTCCCTGTGCTGCTCCCTGCGTGCACCGAGCAGAGGCCAAGTGAGGCCACCGTCTGCCTGCCGGGACACCAGCTGGGTGCGAGCCCTCCCCACAGGCCACCCAGCAGACCAGGGTGTGTGTCTGTCTACATCTCCTGTGTTTGCATTTACTTTCTTCTCCACAAAAGTTATAACATTTACATATGTTAGTCCTTTAATTTTATGCTTAGGTTAAGTTTTTAGTGTTTTATATATTTGATTGTAGACAACTGGTTTGTCTCTCATGTGAGATAAACCCTGTAGGTCAGTGGGGTGTGTGATGTCATTGTTACATGGGTTAAGTTTTAATGTTGGTGACAAGTTAGGTTGCATGTTGAGAAGAATGGACCACAGGTTTAAACCACAGACCGCCCAGTTCCTACCTCTCCTGTCAGATGTAGTTGCACCGTGTCAGCTCTGTGTACACGGGGGCCCTCCCTGCGCTGCTCCCGCAGGTGGAGGTCCTTGCAGGCCCAGGTTGCTGGGTGAGTTCACGTGGTCTAGCAGAGGTTAGATTTCTGTTTATGTTTTGGCTGTAATTGTTAGAGGGTGATAGTAATCTCCCAGTTTTCCTATTTTTGCCTGTGGTGATTACTTTTCTCTTTTTAAACCTTTTAAACCTTGTTCTGTTTGGAGATGGGTTAAGTAATTAATAAATTCCAGTAATGAGTAAGAGTGAGCTTTCTTTAGGTAAGCAGTCTTAGCAATTCATTTTTTAAAATTTACTTTTAATTTTTGGCCATGCTGCGTCTTTGTTGCTGCGAGGGTTTTCTCTAGTCGCGGCGAGCGGGGGCTACTCTCTAGTTGTGATGCACAGGCTTCTCATTCCAGTGAGTTCTCTTGTTGCAGAGCATGGACTCTAGGATGCATGGGCTTTGGTTCACAGCTCCTGGGCCCTGGCGCACAGAACTTGATAGTTGTGTCTCTCGGACTCAGTTGCTCCGAGGCATGTGGGGGCTTCCTGGATCAGGGATTGAACACGTGTCTTCTGCATTGGCAGGCGGATTCTTTACCACTGAGCCACCAGGGGAGCCCGTTAACAATTCGTTTTTAACTGAGTGTGTTATGTATGTATTTTTTATTTTAACAGAGACTTTATTTTAACTCTGCTGTGTTTGTAGATGTGACACACATATCGTGTGTCCATGTGGTGTGTACTCACACATGGTGTGTGTGCAAGTTTACTTAGTGCCAGGTGCCCGCTGGGTCAGTCATAATGGTGGTTAAGTCCTGGAAGGATAGGCGGTGGTGGTCTGACTGTGCGGCTGGTCTGCAAGGTCAGGATCCCCAGGGACCCACCTCTGCTTCCCCAGCTCTGTGGTGAGGACGAAGTGGAGTGCTCCGACAAGGACGAGCCTGATACAGACGGCGACCCGTCCAGCGAATGTCCCACCATCCGGGCACCACTGACATCTCTGAAGAGCCACCAGGGCGTGGTCATAGCTGCTGACTGGCTGGTTGGTGGGAAGCAGGCAGTGACAGCCTCCTGGGACAGAACGGCCAACCTGTACGATGTGGAGACGTCAGAGCTCGTCCACTCCCTGACAGGTGCGTCATGTGGGAGGGACTTCTCGTCTGGATTGAGTGTTGGCACAGCTGTCATTTTCAGAGATCCTCCTGAGAAATGGAGCCATAAGTGGTTAAATTTATCTTATCTTCGGGGGGTATAATTGCACCTAGAGACATACAGTTTGTAGATATTTGAATGTGGTTGGTGTGTTAGCTTTTTTTTTGCTTTAATTTCCATACACTTAGTATCTTAAAATAACATGAATTTATAATAAAACTCCCTGGCCAGGAGTTTTGGGCATGTGCTCGCTGACGCTCTGATTCTCAGGGTGTCATGGGTGGGATGTGAGTGCTTGCGGGGTTGTGCCCTCACCTGAGACCTGCGGTCCTCTTGCTGCCATTGCAAGGATCCCTTTCCTGTGGCCGTTTTTCTGCCGGTTTTTGGCTGGGGGCAGCTTTCAGTACCTGGAGGCGGCTGCAGCCCCCCTCCCCCGGCCCTGCCAGAGGCTTCTCACCACTTGCTATTGGCTTTCCTCCAGGCCAGCAGGAGTGGATCTCTCTCGGGACCCTTAAAAAGGCCCACCTGACTACGGCAGGCCACCTAGGAAGTCTGTCTTTTTCTTTTTTTTGACTAACTGAAAGCCATGCGATTTGGAGGCCTTAAGTCATATCTGCAAAACCCATTTTGTGTTATAATGTACTGAGATCACCAGAACACCGTCCCACGCATCTGCAGGTTGTGCCCACATGCAGGGCAGGAGTCCTGCAGGGCGTGTACAGCCCCCTGCCTGCCACCAGCCTTCATACCTGCTTGTCAGCGCATTTTGTCATTGAGTGACAGGGATGTGTCCCACTGTGTGCTCCACCCGTGGGTTATTAGAGGTTCTTCTCACATGCGAAACTCAGAACTGTACTTTCTCATACACTCAGCCTTTAGAGACCCTCCTGACCTTTCAGCCGTTGCAGTCAGGAGTGTCCCTCCCACACTGCTCGTTCAGTTCTTTCGAATGCACGAGGGGAAGGGACATGGGCCCCCCCTTGACCCCACACACCGTCCCCACGACTGCTTTTCCCAGGAGCCGAGTGGGGGCCTCACTGTGACTGCGTCCTCCATCTCCCACAGGACATGACCAGGAGCTGACACACTGCTGCACGCACCCGACCCAGCGGCTGGTGGTGACCTCCTCCCGCGACACGACATTCCGTCTGTGGGACTTCCGCGACCCTTCCATCCACTCTGTGAACGTGTTCCAGGGCCACACGGAGTGAGTCTTGGTCGTGTAAATGTTTTTTAACTCTGATCTGGGCTGGGAGGTAACTGGGTTTTCTAGGGTGGTTTTCTTGATCTTCTTAACGCAGTGGTTTTCTGAGCATTGAAACAAACACTCAGATGTGCTGTTCTCAGGAGTGTGGCTCTTTTTCCCTTGTGTCACCCTAGAAAGTCTCTCTGGAGTGTTCTCAGTGGATGGTTGCTTACACAGAGGCAGTGTTTCTTACTGTGTGACTGCATGTTTCATGTTATATTATGATGTGGAACACACTTTGGGAAAGCTTATCTTAGGGCATATTTTCATTTATAGGGACTCAGCACAAGTTCTCTAGTGAAGTGTGTTGGACTCTTAACATCTTCTATGATGTGAGTACTTTAACTCGAAATACAGGTAATTCGAGTGTTCTGTGTGCTGGTTGTTCCTAAGGCAAGGTGTAGCGGTGTAGGCTTCAGCATCACCGACTCAGTTCTGTAGCCCAGCTTCTCTGGGACCTGGAGGAGAGATTGTTTTTCTCCTTTTCATTTCTGGTACTGTTACCCCAACTTTCACATGGCTCCTGTGCCCTTTTCAGAAACTAGGATTTGAGATGTAACACTTCTCTGTAAGATAAACAAATGTCTGTAGGTGACGAGTCCCCCTGAGATCTGGCTGTATTATTTTTGCTGGATGGAGAGAGAGCTCCTGGTGGAGTGTCTGTTTAGGGTTTTCATTGTACATTTGTGACAAATGAGCCTCCCACCCCCTTTTTGCTACCTTTATTTTCACTCTATATTATGAAATTTCTTAGTTATAATAGGAATCTTAACAGGATTTATTTAGCGAAGCTTGGGGTCTGTATTATTAGACAAGCTTTTGGTGGCCCAAGGCATACCAATTTGACTGAAAAGCAATTTTAGAAACCTTATGTAACCAGCTGTTTTCCTGATAAGTGGGGTTTGTAGTGTGTCCTGTTCTTGGAAATGACAGAGATGTTTAGTTGGAAAAATTTGGAATGTCACAGGAGTTTCAACTATTGGCAGTTCATTTCTCATGTATTTCTGTCGTCAGCTATAACTGGAACCCAGAACTTTTTGTCTGATGAGCTCAGTCCTTGTGTGTTCATGTGCTTTCCACCACCACCTGAGGACGGCCTGGTGGGGACAATGCTCTGGCCCCTCTGTGACGTGCAGTGGGGCTGGACTCCGGCCATGTGGGTTGGATCCAGGGCCGTTCCTGTGAACGGCTCTCACTGTCATGAAACTTACTCTGGGGCTGGAACCCCTGCTGCACTTGAGAGAAGCGCCCCCCCCCCCCCCCCCCCGCCGCCCTCCCAGAACCACTGCCTCCTGTGGAGTGCGGCAGAGTTGTCACCCTGTTTTTAGTTTCATTTTGTTCTGTTTCCATTGCTATAAAAAGGGGCCAGCAGTGGAGGCAGTCACTGGTCATTAAGCTTCCCCCGTGGGTGGCCGATGACTCCAGGCTGTGCCCAGCTGATGGTGTCTACATGTGCCATAAACTTTGGCATTGAAGAAATTGGAAATTAGCTCAGCACAGAATATTTCATTCTTAGAAATATCTGAGAATGCAGAGTTCTTTCTTTCTTTTTGCCTAAATTCGTTTCGTATTGTTTACTTTACTCCTAGAGTGTGAACTCAGGTGCTTTCTTGTCTAAAGAAAGCAAGACACGACGTCTCACAGAAAAATTTCTTTCTGTCTGCACTTCTTCTGGACCTGATAAGGTGTTGGCAGGATGCCTCAAGCGCCCCGGAGCAGGGAGCAGGGTGGGGCTGTGGCGGTGCCGCAGGAGGTCACACCCGCACCTCTGCACGTGTTGTGTTCCATGCAGCCCGTGTCACTCCTGATGGGTGCTGCACGCAGCTCTGAGGCCTGTGTGCACACGGCCGTGTCAGGGCCCTCGGCTGGATAGTGTCAGTACCTTCTGTTGTGTGTTTTCTTGTAGGACGCAGGGCCTGGCACGCAGTGGTCGAGGGAGCGGTTCTGGGGCTCAGCCTCGTGAAGTGAGCAGGGAATGTCCGCACTGAGCCTGGGGGCAGCTGGAGTGGGGCATCAAGTGAGGTCTGGCCCTGCTTGCTGGAGTGTCCCCTGCCCTCCTCCAGGGGAAGCCGGATTTGAAATCCCAGAAAGAATCACTGTGGTGCAAACCTGACTTTTCCTTTGAATGCTTGTTATCTCAGGGTCTGCTCCTTGGGGAGCTGGCCTTCCAGGACTCCTCAGAAGTTTGTGTCATTGGGAGATGAGTTTCCATTTCTCACTCAGGCATCTGAGATCGTGAACTGCGGGAGCCGAGCATTTTCTAACTTGGGGGGCCCGTGCTCGAGGGGGCGGTGCTCTGAGGGCCCAGGGTGTTCCTGAGGATGGGTTCCTCCTTGGGGACCTTAGCTTCTAGAGCACAGCTTGGAGGCCAGTGGTTGGAAGGTGGGGGCCGCCCGACCCCTGTGAGCAGCATCGGTCAGGTCCTTGTGGGCTTGTGTGCAGCGGCTGTCAGGCAGGAGGGTGGCGTGGGCCATGTGTTGTGTCACACCTGAGTCTGCACTCCATGAGCCCCTTATACTGCAAAGTGGAAGAGTCGCGAAGGGTCTGCCTGGGTCCCCGTTGCCGGAATGTGTGCTCCCTGCCTGCTCACTCTGCCCCATCAGAAGCCCTGTCCCCCTCAGAATGAGAAGGCGCCTGCGGCTGGTGCCAGAGGAGTTGCTGCCTCCTGTCTCCAGGCTTCATTTTCTACATGGTGCACTTTCTTCCTTGGCTGGGAAGTTTCAGCAGATTGTTATGCAGAGCAGCCGCTTCCCTGTGTGATGGGGGGACAGCTGTGGATCCTAATGAGGAGCCCAGCTTCCCATCTCCGCTGATTGAGGCCCACAGAGGGAGCGGAACGAACGTTCTAGGCATGCCGTGATGGCGGAGCCGCTCTTGTCAGCTGTAGGCACACGCTCGGCTGCTCTTGGCGACAAGAAAAATGAGGCGGCGGGCGCTGGTGGGGCCGGGCCTTCCACCACCCCAAGGGACCATGTGGGAGAGGCCTTGGGAGGACAGTCCTTGGAAGGACTGCAGCCAGCCTCTCGCTTTGATGCCCCATAATACCTGTCAGGGTCCTGATGCATTGAATCCCAGCGTCTTTCAGCATTTCATTAATAGGGTTCGACAAGCTTTGTGGGTATTTTCCCCACTAATTTAGCGGAGTATTAACTGAGGTTTAACTGGGTCAGACCTCCTGAGGCCTCACATCCACAGGGAGGTCGCTGGCAGTGGAGGTGTCTGCCTTAGGGCCCTGTCAATGGCCGGGCGCTCAGATGGCCCTGTGACCTGAGGGGCAGCAGCACCTGGTTCCCACTCAAGTCCCCACTGTGTCCTTGTCGTCAGATGAGGAGTTTGGACGAGTTATCGCGTTGCTCTTGGGGTTACCCTTGTCTCCGTCTTTCTCCCTGTCGTGCATTCGGCCTTTGACCTTAACACAGTGCCCTCCAGGTCCATCCCACTCTGTATGAACCACATCCTCTTTACCCAGTCCTCTGTCAATGGACTTTTTGGTTGCTTCTGTGTCGTGGCTGTTGTAAACAGTGCTGCCATGCACTTTGGTATGTGTGTATCTTTTTGATTTTTTTTTTTTTTACAGTTAAATACCCAGGAGTGAAATTGCTGAGTCACATGATAGTTCTGTCTTTGAGGAATTTCCACAGTGTTTTTCACAGTGGCTGCACCAGTTTACATTTGCATCAACATTGTAGGAGGGTTCCCTTTCTCCCCACCTTCTCCAGCACTGATCGCTTGTCTCTTTGATGATGGCTGTTCCGACAGGTGTGGAGTACCAGCTCACTGGGGTCTGGTGTGCATTTCCCTGGTGATTAGTGATGTTGGGCACGTTTTCATGGGCCTATTGGCCATCTGTAAACCTCCCTTGGAGAAGTCTGTTCAGATCATTTTTTAAATGGTTTTTTGTTGTTGGAATGAATTTTTTTCCAGTGCTCTGATTGAATTGTCTGAAAGTCTCAGTTGAGGTGGATGTTTAACTGTCTGCTCTAGAGATTTGGGTGGGTCCTGTCTATCTGGCCCATCTTGTCTGGGAGCCCTCTCCTTGTTCCGCTGCTGGGACGAGGTGAGGCTTCCTTGGAGAGGTCAGCGGGGACCCTGTGTGCTGGCAGGGGTTAGTGGGAGGACCAGTGAGTGGAGTCAACGACTCATGGTGTCCACATCCTTGCCTCCCCGCCCGCCCAACAGGCCCCGGGGTGGCAGGATTGGGTGTCTGCTGTGCAGTGTGGACAGGGACTTCGTGACGAGGTTCTGATCCTGTTCCCTCTCTTGGCAGCACTGTGACCTCTGCTGTGTTCACCGTGGGAGATAACGTGGTCTCTGGCAGTGATGACCGCACCGTGAAGGTCTGGGACCTGAAGAACATGCGGTCCCCCATTGCCACCATCCGCACAGACTCTGCCATCAACAGGTGAAGGGTGCTCCTCCATGTACCATTAGGGTGGCCTTAAGGTGGCTTGTGGCCTGTGTTGGGTTCCTATAAACTTGCGTTTACTTGGTAGGGCCTTGGGAAAAGTGCTTTAGACTCCCAGGAAAATATCTTTTATTGGTCCTCTAATGCACATTATGTATTCTATAAATACTGAAACCTGGGTATAAAATCAGGTTGGTGTATTGAGCTTTTTAAGAATTAAGAATGAGTCCTTTTTGGCCAGAGGTTACTGTGTAGCACATGTAAGTTACAAGTGAGTAACTCAGCCCGTTTTCTGATGCCTTAGGCTGGTAACACCTTGGTTTGCTAATGTGTTTTGGCTTGAAGAGGGGAATGCATGAAACCCCCACTGCATTATCGCCTATAATCTCAAAAACTTGTGTTATCACTGTTGGTTACGTAATTTATTTTTCTCTTCTCCTACACCTTGTAGGATCAATGTGTGTGTTGGCCAAAAAATCATCGCCCTCCCCCACGACAACCGCCAGGTGAGGCTGTTCGATATGTCGGGTGTGCGGCTGGCTAGGCTCCCGCGCAGCAGTCGGCAGGTGCGTGCTGGGGCCGCCTGTGTGGGGGGCTGAGGGCAGGGCCTGCTCTCTGATGGTGGGGAGCTCCCAGCCAGCCTGGCTGTGTTCAGTGCTCCAGGAGCCCCTCCTGGAAGAAAGAAGTTAATTCTCACAGTGGGTTTTGATTACCCAAGTACATTCAAAACAACCGCCTCACATGCAGTCAGTAGAAGAATGTTCACAATTTTACGCCCTCTTCTTACCGGGTCTCCATCAGAAGTACTCGGTCACTTCAGGGTCAGAACTAGGGAGCGCTGGGGCCCAGTGAGCAGAGGGGTGTGAGTGGGTGCGTGGGCTTGGTGGGGATAATCTGGACTCCCTACTCCCTAGCTTTCTAGCCCCTCCTGCCCGCTGTGAGGTTGCTGACACCAGTGTCCTGCAGTGGCCCTGGCGTTTGTGGTCTCTTGTCTGGAGCCCTGACTTCAGTGCCTGTCTCAGGTGACCTGCTGCAGTTTTCTCAGTGGTCATGGAGGGCAGGCCTTGCTCCTGCCGTGAGCATCCCTCCACTGGCGGCCCTGGGCCTCTGGCCTGGGAAGGCCTCCCCAGTGTGTGGACGGCACTCCCCCCTCCACACATCCCCGTGGGGATGTCTTGCGGAGGGAATTTTGGTGCTGTTCTATTGAGAGTCTGTTTTACTTACGGGATTTCTGTCAGCTTTTCTGAATCCTGCCCTGTACCTGTTGTATATTAGAGTAACAGGTCAGTGTGTCCCACTTTAAACTCCCCAGATAGCCTGCAGTGTTTGTTCCAGCATTCTGAAGGTGACGGGAATCTGCTTGAAAGGCCATTTACTTTATCTTTGTTTTATTTGGCACCAAAGGTATATTTCTAGCTCCTTTATTCCTTGAAACAATTATTTGTTCAAATGGTACTTGGGGTCTTTGAGTGAATTATATTTGTTTCTTCCCACATCATCCATCCTCATTTATTCATTAAAACATCCCAGAGGGACTGTTTCTGCATTCTTCCTGTTGACTGCCATCTGACTCCTGTTCTTGGAGGAAGGGTCCTGAGGTGCTGGTTGGGCTGCACTGAACTCAGCCGTGTTCCCACCCCTTGTTTCGCAGCAGCTCCCCCAGCAGCACAGGAGGTCTCCTGACTGGTCCAGTTCAGGGCCCCCTTTCTGACGGGTCGTGGGGGTGTGGTCCTGCTTGGGCCCTGCTCTGACGGCGCTGTGCCTGGTTGCAGGGCCATCGGCGGATGGTGTGTGGCTCAGCCTGGAGCGAGGACCACCCTGTGTGCAACCTGTTCACCTGCGGTTTTGACCGGCAGGCCATCGGCTGGAACATCAACATCCCGGCGCTGCTACAGGAGAAGTGAGGGTGCCGTTCTGAGGCTCCCGCCGGCTGGGACTGTGCCTGCCGGTTTGCTGGGCGCTGGGACGCCACGGCTGTGGGCGGTGGACCTGAGCAGGGCGCTCTCTCCTCACTGTACCCAGCTTGCATGAAGTGTCCAGAGGTGTGCCCTGTTGTTTCTTTCTGTTTTGTGTGTGTGGGCGTTGCGGCCGTGAGGTGGAGCCCTTTCCATGGCTGCTGGTGTAGTGAGTCCCTGGTGTGTTGGCTGACAGGAGGGCGGGGCATCTGGAGCGATGGTGCATGTGTGCTTGTCCAGTGGGAGTGGGCAAAGACCTCACGTCTGTGTGGGGTTCTAGCGTGTGCTGACTCAGCTTCACCTTTGTGTTCTGTTACAGTTGTGAAATCTGCTTGGATTTTAGAAGTTAAAAAAAGCATAGAATGTTGAATTTGCAACATTTGGACAGTTTCTTTTGAAAAGAAAAAATTTCTGCTCTTTATGGAAAACCATTTCAATCTCCTGAGGTATTTCATGCTGGCAAATTCTGAAATAGAATGGTTCTAATCACTGATTCCGGATATTAAGTAAAATTTAAAGCACTTTAGTTTATAGCTGTGGTTATAAACAGTTTTTAGAAGTTTCAGATGACTTATCCATTGAATGTGACTTGACCTTTCTAGAAGGCCCTGCTACCTGAAGACAAACCTTATTTATTTTCTACACCTTGGGTTTGCATGTTTCCAAGTGGGTTCACTTCTTGGTGGCATCTGAGAGCCAGCAATGCAAATAAATGAGTTCTACCTCAGATATGAAGTATTTGGGAAACTTGGGGTGTCTCTGTTACTGGCTCAGGCACTTGTGATTTAGAGCTGAAATGAGCTCATCCAGAAGGCAGGAGAGGTGGGCGCAGCAATGGCCCTGCCCAGGAAGGTTTGCTAGGAGCCCCTTCTGCCTGGAGCCTGTTGCTCCTGCCTTCTCAGGACTTTCTGTCCAGTGTTCACGAGTCGTGTTTCTTGTTGAGTTATAGTTTGATAGCGAGACCTTTCAGTGCCCCCTAGCCTCCCCCTGCCCTGTTTGTAACCCTTGGAGGCTGTCCTGGGACAGGCACCGAGAGGGACACTGGAGACCATTGTGCCGGCCTCGTCCTGTAACTGCCTCCATTCTGCGGTGTCAGGTGGGGTGGCCTGAGTGCTGGTCCTTTGCCCGTGGGTCCTTCGGTCAGGCCCCACGGTAGCCGACCTCAGGCCTCTCGGCCCTGGATGGTCAGGACTGGGTCTGGGGGACCCCTGGCCGGGTGGGAGGGAGATCTGAGGAGCGAGGGTGAGACGGCAGGAGTTTCAGGGCAGCTTTACAGCAGCGGCGGCTCAGGAGCTGATGTTGGAGTCCAACATTCCCTGACTGCGGTGTGAGGATGGCTCCCGCCCCGGGTCTCACGCGGAGCTGCCCCCTGCCTCCGCACACACTGGCCTCTCCTTCTTTAGTCTCACAGCTGAATGTCTTAATAGAGTCACTGCTAGGAACATTGGAAAATGTCTGCAAGTCATCGCGCCAGACCTACCCAGATCTCTGCCCATTGAAACAGTGGGAAACAAGTGAACTCAGTGTGTGTGCCAGCCGTGTGGATGAAGCTCCACATGCAGCCCCATCTCCTCCCCGGGCCTTGGCCCTTCTCAGGAGCGGGATCCGCCACAGTGGTCATGGGGTGTCTTCGGGTGTCAATGAAGGAGCTGGGGGTGCTGTGTGTGCACACCCCTTTGTGCACGTGAGTGTGCGCGGGGATGTGTCTGCATGCGGCTGCAGTGAAATCATGTGACCCACTGCCTTGATTTCATCTGAAGTAGTGTTTGGAAGTGGGAGTGGTTTTGTCCATGTGCCGATGAGTCCAGAATTTCCTGTCATAGCAGGAGGAAATGTGTGTTTACTGGAAATCATGTGTCAAGAGAATTTCTTGAGAGGTGTGTTGTTGGACAAATGACACCCTTTTTCTCAGCCACTGCACATCACTTTCTGCAGGGTGAAAATTCTATACCTATTCTGGAACTGAAGAATCCTATGTAAATCATCTGTTGCTTAAATCTGTGAAAAATGAGTTTTTTGGGGGGGGGAAAGTGTGCATTTATAAGTGTCGTGTAGAAGCAGGTGTTTTTACTGTGTTGATGTAATTGTTCATAAGTGTTCAGTGTCTTCATTGCAGTATGAGATTCATTAAAAACCCACGTTCTGTAACTATTGTTGTGAAAGTGTTGTTATTAGGAGTTTTTAAAAATTATTTGACTTTTTTTTCATGTTTTTACTTTGGTAAAGCATTTTAATGGCTGCTGAACATCACAATCATGTAGAAAGTGAACAAGTTAATTATAGTATTGCTCATTTGAAAAACTTCTAGACTTCAAAGCTCAGTTGTGTTTTATTTTCTTTTATACTGTAATTAAATGATCCACATTACACTTCTCCATTCCTGCATCGCCAACCCCAAAATTTCTGAAGGGAGTTAATAACTTGACAAAATACAGTCCTTTGTCACAGTCCCTCAGTTTCATAAACACTTGTCCTGTCCTTACCATAGTTAAGCTTGTTTGAAAGTTGAGAACAATTGCAGTTCCAGAAAGTGACCTGTTACAGAAAGTGATCCGTTACAGAGAGAGGGTCTGTTTTCTATGTTGAATGCATGCTGGGATTGGCCGTGGCCCTGCTCACTGTCCTGTTCTCAGTTACGTAGATGGAGCTGCATCTGCCATGGGAGCCATGGCAGGTGGCTCCTGGGAACCCGGCAGGTGGCAGGGCCCTGCCTGGCGTGTCCCCCAGCCCCACCCCAGACCAGGAGGACTTGCCACCCAAGTCCCGTGGGCCGCAGGCACATGTCAGTCCCCAGAGCGCAGAGCTTCTCCACAATTTCGCCCTCATCCTACTCTTCGAAAATGTGAGTATTATCTAGATTTCATAATTATACCTTCAGTTGCATTTAAAGTTCGTATTAGTATAAGGAATTGAGAAGGCAAGACTTGTATTGCTTTGATTTCATCAAAATGCCACCAAGATGTGTCTCCCTCACTGTCCATAGCTTTTCTGTTTTCACTGAATAAATTGGGAGTCAAGGAAATTATTCCCTGTGTTGGGAGTGCCTCTGCTTTACATCAGCACATGTTGTGCAGTCCCTGTTGTATATAGAGGCTGAAAATGAAGTCACTCTGAGTTTAAAATCAGATTTCTAAGAACATTAAGCAGCTTAGGGCCAACATGCAGGTATACTGAGCACCCTTTGGTGCCTTGTGGGCTGTGCCTTTTGGGCTGGACAGGATCTCCAGAGAGAAGATATTCAAATTGGAGCCTCCTGTCAAGGCTGAAGAGAGTGTTAGGAAGTGAGAGGGATGAGAGTGAGGTTTCGGCCACTTGAGAAGCATGACGGGGTGTGGGGGGCATCCATAATGGAAGCGGCTTGGTCAGGCTTTGGAAAGGGTGGCTTACTCCATGTGCGCCAGGCATCTCCAGACAAGTGCGTGGGAGTCTGGTTCCATGGGATTTGTGCTGAGTGTTGAGCTGGGGGCTGCAGGAGGGGAGGGCAGGGCTTATCCCATGATGAGGGCAGTTCCCGGGTCCCGTCATGCTAGCACACAGGTGTCCGTGGTACCCAAAGGATGCTACAGTGTGTGAGAAGGACCCCCCCCAGCCAATGATAGGGATATGCTGGGGAATTTCAGCCATGATTTGGAGACTCTAGTCTGTTACCTGTCCCTGCTGCTGGGCCCCTTGTCACCACCAGCCCACAACCCCGTCCTCCCACCTGCATGCTAGGCGAGCTGTTGTTCTACGCTCTACTAGCTCAGACACGGCTATCACGGTGCTGCCTGGGAAATCTTGGGACTGGAACTGAGAAAGTCCGTCCCTCTCCAGTAGTTCAAACTACATGAAAATAATGCTGGGTGCTTCAGAGTGAAGAGCACAGAAAAGAATTCTGTGCTCAGCAAGACCTCCTTCAGGAATGAGTGTGAAGTGATGGCCTGTGGATAAACAGAAGCAGTTTTCACCAGGACCCCTTCCCTAAAGGACCTTTACAAGGATGTTTTGTAAGAGGAAAAAGTCACGAAGGCATGGTTTCAAATGGACCAGCATACTGGCACACATCTGCACCAAGTTACATCTGATCAGAACTTGGGATTTAAATATCTGTTTTTGTTCTAATGGGGTTTGAAAGACAGTCTGTATGGTATTAAATATTTATAGAGAAATTTCAATGCTAACCACAAGGAAAAACACCTTGGAAAGATAAAAAAGATGATTGGACATAGTTACTGTGAGGGGCTGGGAAGTGTGGTAAAAAAGAATGGGGCAGAAGTGAGTTTTTAGTGTATTTCTTTTTAAATTTCAGAACCATTGAAATACATCACCCATTATCTGAGAAGTTTTTGCTTTTTTGAATATGTGACAAAAATTAAAATCAACCATATTTTAAATATTTTAAAACTTTAACATAGACATTAGAAAAGACATAAAATGACAGACCATCAGGGTTATTAATAGTAAGAGTCAATATAAAAGGTTCTCCCCATATTGGCAAGTAGATACAGTGCAGTTGCAATCCAAATCACCCAGGTTTTTTTTGAGGCATTGGACAGTATGGTTCCTAAGTTTTATTAGAAAGAGCCAAGGCCAGGGTTAACAAGAAGAGGAAAGAGGAGGCGGGAAAAGAGAAGAAAAAGTTTACCTTAAGTCTGCCAGGGCTGTAGTATGCAGAGGGAGGGGTTTGCACAGAGTAGGGAATTGACCAGTACAACAGAAACAGATCAAAGTTGATTTATGCATAAATGAAAACCTGAAACATTTCTGCTCATATAGTTACAGATCAGTGGGGGGAAATGAATGTTTCTAGTGGTTATTCACGTGGAGGAAGATAGTAAAATTGGATCCCTGTCTCACACACCAAGGGCTTCCCTGGTGGCTCAGACAGTAAACAATCTGCCTGCAATGCAGGAGATGTGAGTTTGTTCCCTGGGGTGGGAAGATCACCTGGAGTAGGGAATGGATACCCACTCAGGTGTTCTTGCCTGGAGGATCCCATGGACAAAGGAGCCTGGAGGGCTATAGTCTATAGGGGTAACAAGGAGATATGACTGAGTAACTAACACACCCACATCTCACACCAAAAGGAGAATCAATTCCAGCATTATATGTGAAAGACAGAACATTAAAGAAAAACTATGGAAAATTCTTAAAGAGATGGGAATACCAGACCATTTTATCTGTCTCCTGAGAAACCTATATGCAGGTCAAGAAGCAGCAGTTAGAACTGGACATGGAACAATGGACTGGTTCAAAATTGGGAAAGGAGTATGACAAGGCTGTATATTTGCACTCTGCTTATTTAACTTCTATGCAGAGTACATGTGCAATGTCAGGCTGGATGAAACACAAGCTGGAATCTTTTGCTGGGAGAAATAACAACCTCAGATATGCAGATGATACCACCCTAATGGTAGAAAGTGAAGAAGAACTAAAGAGCCTCTTGATAAGGGTGAAAGAGGAGAGTGAAAAAGCTGGCTTAGAACTCAGTATTCAAAAACCTAAGATCTTGGCATCCAGTCTCATCACTTCATGGGAAATAGAAGGGGAAAAAGTGGAAATACTGACAAATTTTATATTCTTGGGCTCCAAAATCACTGCAGATGGTGACTGTAGCCATGAAATTAAAAGATGCTTGTTTCTTGGAAGGAAAATTGACATACCTAGACAGAGTATTAAAAAGCAGAGATATCACCTTGCTGACAAAGGTCTAAATAGTCAAAATTATGGTTTTTCCAGTAGTAATGTATGGATGTAAGAGTTGGACCGTAAAGACGACTGAGTGTCAAAGAATTGATGCTTTCAAACTGTGGTGTTGGAGAAGACTCTTGAGAGTCCCTTGGCCTCTAAGGAGATGAAACCAGTCAATCCTAAAGGAAATCAACCCTGAATATTCATTGGAAGGACTGATGCTGAAGCTCCAATACTTTGGCCCCCTGATGGAAAGAGCCGACTCATTTGAAAAGACCCTGATGCTGGGAAAGATTGAAGGCAAAAGGAGAAGGGGGTGGCAGAGAATGAAATGGTTAGATAGCGTCAGTAACTCAATGGACGTGAATTTGAGCAAACTCCAGGAGATAGTGAAGGACAGGGGAGCCTGATGAGCTGCAGTCCATGGGCTCGCAAAGAGCACACGTTCAAGGTCATAGCACCAAACACGGAACAACTGGCACACACCACCAGGGACTGGAAAGCAAATCTTGGTACATCTACACAGAGAAATAAGACATGACAGAAACTGGATAACCCACATGTACCTGTGTGCAACTGTTGGTCCATGTGCAACCTTGTGAGGCATGAGCCATCCAGCCATGCATGTGATCATGGCCTCCTATTTCCTGAGATGAAACCCAACATTCCGAATGGTCGTCTGTGGGCCAGGAATGGGGCTGGGGTGAAGGAAAGGGCGAGATCAGGAAGAGCTGAGACTGGCACCGTGCTGTTCCTCATCTGGATCCTCGGCATATGGGGGCCGGTCCTGATCTTGATGCTGGGCACATGAGTGCTGGTCCTGATCTTGACGCTGGGCACATGGACGCTGGTCCTGATCTGGACAGTGGGCACACAGGTGTTGACCCTGATCTGGAGGGTGGGCACACGGATGCTGGTCCTGATACGGATGGTAGGCACACGGGTGCTGATCCTGATCTGGACGCTGGGCACTCAGGGTCCAGCCCTGATCTGAAGGGTGGGCACACAGGGGCCGGCCCTGATCCAGATGGTGGGCAGATGGTGCTGTTCCTGATCCAGATGGGGGGCACACAGAGGCCAGTCCTGATCTGGGCCATGGGTACATGGGGGCTGGTCCTGATCTGGATGGTGGGCACATGGGTACCTGTCCTGATCTGGACAGTTGGCACATGGGTGCCAGTCCTGATCTGGACAGTGGGCACATGGGTGCCATCCTGATCTGGACAGTGGGCACATGGATGCCGATCTTGACCTGGATGTGGGCACATGGGTGCCGGTCCTGGTCTGGATGTGGGCACATGGGTGTCATTGTGATCTGGACGTTGGGCACATGGGTGCGTGTTCCAGTTCTCACACTGTATAACCTGAGTGCTCCTTCACATGTTCCTTTAATGTGTCTAACATCATACAACCAAGATAATAGAAACAGTTCTAAAGAGAAAGTGTTGGATCAAGTGAATGCTGGTAAGACGAGGGAATTTGTAGTAATATTTTCCTCCACATCAGTTTCATGCTTATTGCAAAACCTAATTTTTCACTTCAGGTACTAATTCTTGCATTTAAAAAATGTGTAGTTTTATCCTAAATTGTCTGATTTTCTGTCAGTGTGTACGTTCCATGGGAGGAAACACAAAGCCAATTTTGTTCCAAGATCATGTTCTTGAGAAAAACAGTCACGAAGAGCATGCCCCTTAGACATCCTTGCCATCCTTTGTGCAGTCGTCTCTGGACCCCAGCCCTGCTTCAGTTCGCTGTGGATCCCAACCGTTCCTGTACTGCAGGTGGGTCCTGCACGTGTGCTGGCTCCTGCAAAAGCAGAGATTGCAAGTGCACCTCCTGCAGGAAGAGCTGCTGCTCCTGTGGCTGCATGGGCCACAACGTGTGTGTCAGAGCTGCATCTGCAGAAGGGCCTCGGACACCTGCAGCCGCTGTGCCTGAAGGCGGGGAGACTCTGCTCCCCAGTGTAAACAGAACAACATGTACAAACCTGTAGGTAAAAAAAAAATACAAGCTGACATGTTTGTTACATTTCTTTCTTTTTTCTTGTCCTATAAAATACAAAGAATTATAATAAAAGTGGTTGGCTTAAAAAAAAAAAAACAGTCACAGAGGCAGTTGTCAAAAGGCAGAGTTTACACTGTCAAAATTGGGTTGTTGGTCAGATACATTTTGTAAATCCTGGCTTTAAAGTGGGAAATGTAATAAGGATTTCATTTACCAGGTGTGATCATAAAACAATAAAAGTGGTTTTCTATGTTCCTAAGAGGGGACTGAAGGCAATTTCAAATCCAGGAGACAGTCCAAAAATTGTGTTGATTGGGGGCCACACGCCAGAGTAAGACTTTATTCTCACAGTCTTGTTTTGGGGAAAGCAGCATTTATTTGGCTAGGTGGGTATGTTCTCATATATTTGCTAAAATATAATCATTTTCTATGATGCCTATATATTACTAATGTTTTCTAGCCCTGAATTGATTCTCAACAAGTGATACAAAAATGTCATTCTGGTGAACTCTTCCTGCTTTTTCAGTGATAAAACTATTTGTGTATGTTCTGCAACTAATTCTCTCTATTGTATATAGGAACCTGATTTTCCTTTTTTATGACACAGTTTTATTGGGGTCTAATTGAATGTGTGAAATACACTGATCATATATGAGGTGTAAAATAGCTATGAATGGGGCAGAGGTGCTGGAGGTTATGGAGCCAGGGTTGCAAAACTACTGTGGTTAACATGCTAAGGGCTTTAGTGGAAATGGTAGACAGTGTGCGAGAGCGGATGGGAGTGATGTGAAAACCATAAGAAAGAATCAAAACCCTGGGGCAGCCATGAAGAATGCCTCTGAGAAGTCGTTCAGTAGACTGGACTGAGCGTCTAAACATGGGCCAATAGAAACATCCCAAACAGGAATCCAAGGAGGAAAAAAGAACGAAAAAATCAGAATAGAATATCCAGGGACAATTACAGAAAGGTGTGATATCCACATTTGGGAACTGGAGGAGAGGATGGAGCAAGGAGATTTGAAATAATAGCTGAGAATTTCCCAAAAATAATGACATAAAGCAGACAACAAATCAGAGATGCTGGGGGGATGCCAAGTGCAGAAATGCCAGGAAACACTTGGGCACATCACATTCAAACTGCAGAATAGCAAAAACAAAATCTGGAAAGCACCGAGAATATACCACAGCTATAGGAAAGAGGGATGAGAAGAACATGGGATGTTTTATCAGAAATCACGCCGGTGACAGTGTGTGTGCGTGTGTGTACAAAGCAGTCATTGTGCTTATGGATTCTGTGGTTGAGTTCAGAAAGGGTGTGTGTCAGAGATGACTTTTCTCTCCTCCATGATGTCTGGGAGGATCGCACGCTGGGAGCAGTGTAGTCATGACTCTGGAGTCATCTGCAGGTGTCTTCATGTGCGTCTGGCCCCTTCATGTGCAGCTGGCTCGACATGGAAGGCTGGCTCAGCTCAGAAGCTGCCTCTCATGTGGACTGGGCTCACGGCACGAAGTCCTCAGGGAAATCTCCTTCCTCAGCAGGGGCCCGGATGTCAACAGTGAGCGTCCCGTCTGTGGGGCAGAAGCGGGGGCCCATGGCACCCCTGCCTGCCTGGGCACTGTCCTCGGTGCTTGTGTGTTAGCTGCTCACTGAGCCTCATGGCCACAGTTTACGGGTGGGTGGTCCCTTCCCGGTGTCTCAGCATGGACTGGAGGGGGACGGGGGGTTCTGGCTGAGACAGTCCAGCTCTGGGGTTGGTGCTGACAAGCTGACCCTGGCATCGGGTCTCTGCTCACCTGGCCCCCGGGGCTCCCAGACTGTGGCCGTGCTTCCAGCCACCCTGTCCCCACACCCGCCCACCGGGTACCTGCTCTGACCACATCCACATGTGTCGCCCCTAGGGGACAGGATGGTGGGTATCTTCCCTGAGCTTTGGGGTGTCCAGGGGCAGAGGAGCTCCCTTCTGGGAGGGGTTCCAGCAACAGGCAAGAAGGGCAGTGAATGTGTCGGGTCTAGTCCCTCTGCAGTGACCCTGACTTATCTCTGAGTCTCTGCACACTTTCCAGTGGCTGCCTCTTGAAATAGTCCCTACGAGCATTTGTAAATTAGGGCTTCTTGATGTTTCTCCTTGAGGCAGGGCAGCTTGCATTTCCCTTTTCTCACCTCTGGACTCTTCCTGTGGATGACCCTGCCCAGGGTGGTCTTGGCCTCACGCCCCACCCTGCCCCCAGGTGCCCTTGCCTCCCTCTGATTATTCCAGCACCCCCACCCCGGCACCGGACTTGCCTGATCACCTTGTCTGTGCCCCCCTTGCTTCATTGGAAAGCAGTGCTGTCCGCTGCTAATTATGTCCTGCCTGTGTTGTGGACACCGTTTAATTTCTTTTTAAATTGCTTTGTGTTCATTGCCACCAACTAGTCTATCAGCTCTTTGGGACTAGAGAGCACATGTGTTTTATTATCTCTAAGGATGGAGGACAATGGGTTATTCATAGCAAGTCTCAATAAAATATTATTTATTGAAGAACCTGGAGAGTGATCACTTTGACCCTCCCTGTTAGTGAACGGTTGGAGTCCTGTGATGGCGGGGAGGGCAGAAAAACCTCCAGACTTGAATAGTAACTCGTCATTATGACTACTTATTACCAAAAGCAAACACATTCCCCTTCACATACTTAATGAATCCTCGTCACAACCCTTTGCTGCAGGTATGATTCTCTTGTTAAAAGATGAGGGATTGGGGTTCAAAGGCAGGAGCCGCCTTGCTCAGAGCTGTGGGTGAATGCAGTCTTCCTGATGCCAAAGTGAAAGTCACAAAGTTTTGTCCAACTCTGCGGCCCCATGGACCATACTGTCCATGGAATTCTCCAGGTCAGAATCCTGGAGTGGGTAGCCTTTGCCTCCTCCAGGGGATCTTCCCAACCCAGGGATCGAACCCAGGACTCCCACATTGCAGGTGGATTCTTTCCCAGCTGAGCCACAAGGGAAGCCCAAGAATACTGGAGTGGGTAGCCTATCCCTTCTCCAGCGCATCTTCCTGACCCAGGGATTGAACTGGGTTCTGCATTGCAGGCGGATTTTTCACCAGCTGAGCCACCAGGGAAGCCCCAAGTCACCGTGCAAACAGCCTCCACCCACTGAGGAAACCAACCAACCAGGTTCCAGATAAGCTGAGATCAGTGCAAAGATATTCACGGGTCCTCAGGGTGCCCAGTTTGGGTGGCAGCTGAGTCCCTGCTGGATGGGGTGGGTGGTCCACGGAGCGCCCCTCGTCCCCGTGATCTCTCAGTGTGGAAACAGGTTTTTCTTGGAAACTTGAATCAACCCTCGCTGAAGGACCTCAGTTCTGGGGTTTAGTGGAGAAGCTAAGCCCCAGTGGAGTGAGGTCAGCAGGCTCACTCGCTCCCTGCACCAGGCACCTGAGGCACAGTCTCGCAGAGCAGGCTTTCAGGTAGGATGCCCGCAGGAAGGAGGCAGAGACCGGCTGTCACAGCCACAGCCAAGGAGGGCAAGGCCGCTGCCTTTGGGCCTGAGCTGCAGCTCTGCATTCCCAGCCGGGCCTCTTCTGTCTGGCCACACACCTCCACGACAGCTGCTTCCTTGAGGGCGCGAAGGCTGCCCACCTGGACAACAGGCCCCTTGGCCTGGCCAGGCAGTGAGTGTCCCCTGTCCCAGGCTCGCTCGTCTGCATGCCTTAGTCCAGGGAGGGGATGATGGATTTTAGCCCCCCTCCCCCCAACGTGAGCTCCCCAGGCTGGGGGTGAGTGTCAGAAGTCACTCTGGACACTGACCCCTCGCGGAACAGAGCTTGCTCGGGGCGGAGAGCCCCCTGCTGGCCTCTTGCAGACGCCCCGGGTGCGGTCCTGGCCAAGGTTGTCACCGCCTGTGACGCTGCCCCGCCGGGTCGAGATGGAGAAGGAATCCCACATGCGAAGGTTCCCTTCTAGTGTCATTAGACGTGACCTGACTCACTCACGGGTAACCGCAAGTGCAGTGGACACCTTTCCTTCTGGCTACTGGCTTTCTGAACCTGCTTCTCTATGCAGGGACCCCAACCTTGGCAGAAGCAGAGCCTGAGGCCCAGGGGCTGGGTCTGGGGGGAGAGTGGTTGAGGGGGGCTGAGGTCCCCGACGGTGTGTTTGCCTCAGCCCCAGCCCAGGGCACTCAAGGCCAGAGGTCAGCCTTGGTCTGCCCCTGCGTCCTTGGCCTTTAGCGGGGCTGCCTTGGCCTCACGCAGTCCCTGCTCCCTGCAGGTGGGAGCCTGTGGGGACCGGAAGCAGCCGCTGCTTGGCGAGAGGGGGTTCTCCAAGTGTGCAAGGGAATTGTGGAGGCTCCTCCTCCTGTGTCCAGGACCTGTCTCCCTGAGGGTTAACAGTGCTTGCTCGTCCTGAGCAACCCTCCCGCCCGGGTGCCCTGCTCCCTGTGGGGTGACTGGCCGGTTTCATGGTCGCCGTCCTGTCCCATGAACTTGGGTGAAGTTGGGTCTGAGGAGGCCCCACACGGAGTTCGGGTGGCCCTGTGATCAGACCACAGGCTAACTCTCACCAGGCCGCTGTCCTGGGAGGAGGGACCCTGAGCTGACCCGCTGGCCGCCTGGTGCCGTGCGTCTCCTGCGGGCGGTGTGGTCCCCCCAGCTCCAGCTCCAGCTGGAGTGGCCCTGGGGGGAGGGCCACTCCTGATGGACTTCGTCTGTGAGGCCTGGGGGACAGCCTGAGTCACCTGCCTGCGCGGACACACTCGTGGCCCCACCTGTGACAGCAGGATGGTCACACGCTGCCTGCACTCAGCCCATTCACCTCACCCGGAGTCCCTCTCCCCCGAGTCCCTGTCCCCAGAGTCCCTGTCTCCCCCCCCCGAGTCCCTGTCCCCCGAGTCCCTGTCCCCGAGTCCCTGTCCCCAGAGTCCCTGTCCCCCAAGTCCCTGTCCCCGAGTCCCTGTCCCCAGAGTCCCTGTCTCCCCCCCCGAGTCCCTGTCCCCCGAGTCCCTGTCCCCGAGTCCCTGTCCCCGAGTCCCTGTCCCCAGAGTCCCTGTCCCCCAAGTCCCTGTCCCCGAGTCCCTGTCCCCAGAGTCCCTGTATCCCCCCCCGAGTCCCTGTCCCCAGAGTCCCTGTCCCCAAGTCCCTATCCCCCGAGTCCCTGTTCCCCCGGAGTCCCTGTCCCCAAGTCCCTGCCCCCGAGTCCCTGTCCCCTGTCCCCAGAGTCCCTGTCTCCCCCCCCCGAGTCCCTGTCCCCCGAGTCCCTGTCCCCGAGTCCCTGTCCCCAGAGTCCCTGTCTCCCCCCCCCCGAGTCCCTGTCCCCAGAGTCCCTGTCTCCCCCCCCCGAGTCCCTGTCCCCAGAGTCCCTGTCCCCCCCCGAGTCCCTGTCCCCCGAGTCCCTGTCCCCGAGTCCCTGTCCCCCGAGTCCCTGTCCCCGAGTCCCTGTCCCCAGAGTCCCTGTCCCCGAGTCCCTGTCCCCGAGTCCCTGTCACCAGAGTCCCTGTCCCCGAGTCCCTGTCACCAGAGTCCCTGTCCCCCCCCCGAGTCCCTGTCCCCCGAGTCCCTGTCCCCGAGTCCCTGTCCCCCGAGTCCCTGTCCCCGAGTCCCTGTCCCCAGAGTCCCTGTCTCCCCCCCCCGAGTCCCTGTCCCCAGAGTCCCTGTCCCCCCCCGAGTCCCTGCCCCCGAGTCCCTGTCCCCGAGTCCCTGTCCCCCGAGTCCCTGTCCCCGAGTCCCTGTCCCCCGAGTCCCTGTCCCCGAGTCCCTGTCCCCAGAGTCCCTGTCTCCCCCCCCCGAGTCCCTGTCCCCAGAGTCCCTGTCCCCCCCCGAGTCCCTGTCCCCCGAGTCCCTGTCCCCGAGTCCCTGTCCCCCGAGTCCCTGTCCCCGAGTCCCTGTCCCCAGAGTCCCTGTCCCCGAGTCCCTGTCCCCAGAGTCCCTGTCTCCCCCCCCCGAGTCCCTGTCCCCAGAGTCCCTGTCCCCCCCCGAGTCCCTGTCCCCCGAGTCCCTGTCCCCGAGTCCCTGTCCCCCGAGTCCCTGTCCCCGAGTCCCTGTCCCCAGAGTCCCTGTCCCCGAGTCCCTGTCCCCAGAGTCCCTGTCTCCCCCCCCCGAGTCCCTGTCCCCAGAGTCCCTGTCCTCCCCCCGAGTCCCTGTCCCCCGAGTCCCTGTCCCCGAGTCCCTGTCCCCAGAGTCCCTGTTCCCCCGGAGTCCCTGTCCCCAAGTCCCTGCCCCCGAGTCCCTGTCCCCCCAGAGTCCCTGCCCCCGAGTCCCTGTCCCCCCCGAGTCCCTGTCCCCAGAGTCCCTGTTCCCCTGGAGTCCCTGTCCCCAAGTCCCTGCCCCCGAGTCCCTGTCCCCCCAGAGTCCCTGCCCCCGAGTCCCTGTCCCCCCCGAGTCCCTGTCCCCCCCGAGTCCCTGTCCCCCAGAGTCCCTGTCCCTGGAGTCCTTGTCCCCCCGGAGTGCCTGTCTGGCGGAGTCCTTGTCCCCTGTCTCTGGCCACCAGGGGGCACCTGTTGTCCTTTTCACCTTGGGCTCGTTTCCCTCCAGGCTGGGGGGCTCAGACCCTCTGCCCGAGACCTGATCTCAGATGCACTCCTGTAAGAAGATGAAGGTTCAGAAGGTGATCCTGCCGTTTCTTCATGGGGCAGACTTTCTGTGGACTCTGGCCCCCTAGAACTCTGCTTGATGAGAAAGGCCCAACACCCCAGGAAAGCACAATTGTGCTTAATGTTTTTATTCACTTAACAGAAACATTCACTTATCAGATTTCACTGAAGTGCAATTTACAGAACTCAGAGGCAAATTAACATATGTAAATTCATATTTTAAGGTTTCAGATTTTTTTTTTACAAATATTACAAATGTACATAGATTGTTACAATATTGCCATTCAGTCATGCTTTCATGTACATACTTTCACTTAAGAATTACTATTTATTAAGTTCATTTTGCTTAAAAAATGCTGAAAATTAACTGGGCACTGCTGGGAAAGTGTTTTTCCTTTTTTACTGATACATGTACTGCGGAGTGGTAGAAACCTAGTGCTTGTGTGACACGAGGCCCTAGAGTCCAGGCTGTTTGTCTTTGGAGGGTATTTCTCCCCCGGCTTCCTTTCTCACATGAGTTGAGAGCCAAGTGTTTCTTTCTCCAGGGCCGGTGCTGCCCGCACATCCCTGCAGCAGTAATATGATTTGGTCTACATGTTCAGAGCTGTGATGTCAGTGTCCCTTTTGGTGAACAGGCTCCAGGGGCCTGAAGGGACTGAACATGAAATCACAGGAACACTCCAGGGGCTGCCTAGTCCTGAGCAAAGACCTGAAACAGTCAACGAAGTGGGGCTCAGGGCAGACATGCACCTGAGACCTGACTTTCAGTGGTAACAGGATGGGGGGTCAGGCAAGAGAAAGGGGGGAGGTTGAGGAGGGAGAGAGCGTGGGAAAGAAGAGGCAGCCAGAGGCAGCAGCTGCCTTTTTCTCTTGTTTCTGCCTCTCCCACCCCCACCTGCACCCTTCATTTGATCTAATTCAGTCTGTGGGGGGATCTTAGCAGGAGCTGGAGCATCCGTGTTCCCACAACCCGCAGTGCTGCAGCTGGGGGTGAGTCAGGACCCGGCAGAGGGTGGGAAGGGGCCCCCAGGGGCCCTCCCAAGTCAGAGCTTCCTCCCCACCGCCCACCCCCTGCAGGGACTCCATGCGGGGCCAGGGAGTATATGGGACAATGGGGAGGACCTCAGGCTCACCTGGCCGCTGAGGGGTGGTCCATAAACAGGCTTTCCTGACTTCCCTTTGGTCTCATCAGAAAGTGCTGTTTGTTGTATTTTGGGGCCAATTAGACGATTTCATTGGAATGGCTTCTTAAAAAATGGGTATAGAAGTTTCTCTAAATCAAAAATGTCTAAGTTTCAAATGTCTTTTTAATTTCTTTAAACAAGATACTATAGACACATCTTGAAATTTTTAATCTAAAAATAGGATTTCATCAAAATACTCTATTCTATTCTGGGCATTGATATACCTTGTATTTACTATTTATGGCTCTCCAGACATGATAAACATTATACTGGAAAAAAAAAAAAAGAACACATTTAACTTTACCAGTAAGAACAGAATACTGTGAAAAAGGAATCATGTGGGAAAATATGAGCTGTGCCTGCTTGAAAAGCTCGTTGATGGTTCTGAGGAACAGTGGATGTTAAGACACCATAGCCTCCAGACATGAACAGACTCAGAGAGGAGCAAAAGGCAACAACAGTCATAGACCTGCACATCCTGTGCTTGGTGAAAACAGAACACAAATCTCGAATTGAGCAACTCGCTGTCACATGTGCGACCTGCTGCCCACTCCCGACTCTGCGGGTGGGTCCCACCAAGATGCTCTACACAGGGAGCCCCAGGCCTTCTCCCACCGAGCCGTGTGCACTGGGGAGGGAGGTGGATGTGATGGGGTGGGCAGATGGGACCCAGCAGGGCAGGTGTGAGTGCAGAGGCACAGATGGTGCTCCGGCAGGTTCTGCAGGCAGTGGATGATGGGCCTTTTCGTTGGCTCTGTCCTGCTTTCAGGGGAACTCAAGTTTTCTTCTCACAGAGACCATAGGTGGGGTCCAGGAGCTGTCAGGCTCTGCTTGACTCAAATTCCCCAGGTTTCTCCAATTAAAATATGCAGGTGGACCTGCCTAAACAGGGCCAGGCTCCCGGGGCCTGGAGTGGAGGGAGAGATACCTCTGGGCTCCCGGATGACCTGAGCTGGGCCCTCCCACCACCCCAGGCCCCTCCTCGAGCTTCCAGTCGTTCCAGCTCCTGCCCCCACTTGCCCTCCTGTGCTGGGAACCCCGGGGCCGTTCCTCGTTTCCTGCTTTCTCATGGCAAAGCGCCAGGCCCTGAGCCTGGCTTCCCGCTGCCCTCGGACCCTTGTCTTGCTGCAGGTGGGCCCTGCAGACTCCTCGTCCACCTCTCCTGCCTAGAGGCACCCTCCTGACTCGACAGACTGGCCTCAGGCTGGTGCTCACGCGCACTGGGTGTCAGGTGCCACCTTCTCCAGGAGCAGCTGTTTACATATCAGTTGGGGTGGTTGTGGAGACCCAGTGCCTCAGACAAACGTGAACATGCAGCCCTGACCCAGGCCCTGGGGGAGGCTCGTGATGGGTGGGTGGGCGCCTTCTGAGCCCCTAAGCAGGTACTTTAAGCGGCGTCCCTGCCTCATTTGTGGGTCGCCCCCTGCATCGTCCCTGTCGTCTGCTCCCTGTGCCGGGAGCTCCTTTGTATGAAGCGCAGACGGTGTCCCCGAGGATCAGCTCAGGGCGCCACAAGCTGGGATTCTGCTCGGAGCCAGGAGGGGCTGTGCCTCCAGCTTTGAGAGCAGGGCTCCAACCTGGGCTCCAGAGTCAGAGTCACAACCGGCCTGAGGCCTCTGGCTGTCTGAGCTTCGTCCGGTGAGACGTCGGAGGATCAGAGACTTACATCAACTGGCCTTGACCCTGGCTGTGTAAGAATTAAGATTTTACTGTCTTTCCTCAGTTCTTATGAAAGATCACTGTGAGTCACCTGTTTGCAAGAATGTTTTCATCTCTCTTGAAACTTTATCTTGGAAAAGTCGTCCACTGCCGTGCCAGTCTTCTCTTGTCAAAGAACTTGGGTGCTGAGTTTGACTTTATATTAAATCCTAGAAGCATCTCCTTCCAGACTTGTGACAAGTACCAGCAGCTCTCTGTTTCACTTTCGCCCTGTTGTTGTGGGATCTGTGAGTCCAATGCTGTGCCTGCATTTCTCAGGTTAAGTGAGGAGCCCGGGCTGCAATGGAGCCTTGCCATTTCTATTTTGCACCATGAATGCCAGATATTTTAACTGGAGGAATAAGGGGTTGGTTGACCAGCATGATGGAGCCAGACATGAGTCTTCTGTGGTGAGAGGCATACAATGGGCTGAGGGTGTCCTGGGTGTCTCCCCACTGCATGGAGCGGGCTCGGGTTGCTGCCCCCTTGATCCCAGGTGCCCTGGGTACGCGGGGCAGGGGACCCAGAAGTGGCAGGACCCTACCTGCTGCGCTGCTGCAGCTGCTTGAGTGAAGGTTTTGTCGTTCAGGATGGAGATCGGAGAGCCAAGATCGGAGACCAAGATCCCGCAGGTTCCGTGTGCTCTGGGCTTGCTTTCTAATAAAGCTCAGTCACAAGGGCAGGACTCAGTCTGGGACAAGACGACCCTGAGTGGCTCAGACCTTGTCTGTGCTGTTGAGTTGTCGTCCTCCAGGAATGCAGCCGTGGGAGCGATGGTGTGGGGTGTGGGGCCCTCGTCATCGGATGTTGGCAGGTGGGTTCCTCAGGCCCTTGATCGTGGCCCCGGTGCTTTAGGAACTGACCCTTTGCTCTGTGAGAATGGTTTACTCTCTGGTCCTGTTTTGGGGCTCCTTAATATCATGCACCTCGAGTCCTTTTGAAAGGAAGTGGAATAAAAACTGAAACCGATGAACGCGACAACTCGTGCTTTCTGGCTTCTTTGGGGAGGAGCCCATGGCTTTTCTCTTCGCTCGTGGCTTACCCTGAAGTCCCACATGCTGTGCTCGTGGGAGCCCCTCGGTTGGGAGGTGCACGGCGGGGCGGGGGCGCCGGGTGGGCCTGGTTGCTTCTCACCAGCTGAACCTCGGCACTTTTCAAGGCAGCACTTGGCACCTCCGGCCCTAATGGAAGCTCCCTTGGACACACGGGGGAGGGAGACAGGACCGTCTGTGCTGGAAGCGGGGTGTGGTGGGCAACCTCAGTCCTGGCCTCCTGGGAGTGGCCATCAGAGAAGCACCACGCCCCTAACCCAAGGCGAGTTGCTCGCCCGAGCTTGGACATGCGTGTTTCTGGAACACCAGAGGAAAGCGAACGCTTGGTGCGGGTCAGCACCATGGGGGCGCCCGCCGCACGCAGCGTGCCCTGCCAGCCTCACAGCGCTAGCAGGAACTGGTCTTGCTCAGGCGGCTTCCTCACCCACGTGCCCAGGCCGGCCTTCTGGAATGCTCTGCACAGCTGCTGTTTGACGGCCTGGTAGGTGCGCGCCCCCAGCTTGGCCTCACAGTACATGGACGGCGTGTCCCCGTGCCGTGGGATCCGGGTGCTCAACTGTGGAACAGAGTGAGAGGGGCCATGAGCCCGCCGGGAGTGGCCTGGCCAGTGGGGGCCATGGTGGGGGCTCCAGCTGCTTGCTGGCCAGTCCGTGACCCTGATACTCACTGCCATGTAACTGGGGGGACCTAACCTTGGAGCATCTGTCTCCTTCTGTCTGAACCGGAAGCACATTGACTCTGAAGTCCCCGTGGACTTTTCACAGGCTGGGCCGGCCACAGCCGTTCACCACTGAACCCCTTTCTATCTGTTTCTGGGGCCACAGGACAAGCCTGCTGCGGGTGGGTGACCTGCTTGGAGGGGCCACATCCGGGGTCCCCGGGGGACCAGTTGGCATGTCCGCGGTCACCTGGCCCCACCTGTGCCCCCCGTCACCCCCCGCCCTCAGATGCTGGGAGGGAGCAGCCCCTACCTTGCCGTAGAGCCGCGCCCACCGCGCCGAGAGCCTGTGCTTGCAGAGCCGGGAGGAGCGGCCACAGCTCCGCCTCCCAGTGGTGGCGTCGATGACCTCCACGTCCGCCGTGCCCACCACCCAGTTCACGCTGAAGTGGGGTGCCTTCCCGGGCTCTCGCGCTTCCGCCTGACTCACTCCTGCCAAGAGAGACCAGGTGCCAGGTGTGAGCGCTGCCCGCCCAGTGGGGACCGGGGCTGAGGGAGGGGCGGACGGCCGCTGTCACAGGGCTTGGGCGCAGTCAGGGCATTGAAGGCAAGGCTGTCCAATGAGGACACAGCCCATACCTCTCCTCTCTGGATGTTTGTCCTGTGGACTGGGGGATGGATGGAGTCATGGGAAGGCCGCCTGAGAACATGTGTTCATGGGGTGCCTGCTGCATGCCAGCTTTCCATGGGGTGGATGCCAGGGCCATGGACACAAGATGGAGTGAAAAGAAGCAAGGCTTGAGGGTATAGGGCCGCTGGCAAGGCGAGGTGACCAGGGCCCAGTGTGGACTGGAAACCAGCCCGTGTTTGCATTTCAGGACAGCAGAGCACTAAAGCGGTTCCTTCTAAGCCCAGGGGCTGCTGCAGATTCTAAACCACGGAGGACGGTGGCCTCGAGGAGGGGCGCTGACCCTGGGCCCTCGGCCTTGTGCCCTCCACGCCGTTCCACTCTGTGTGCAGCCAACATGGCCAGTCCCCAGGTCCTGCTGGGGTCACACAGGAGTGGGCAGAGGACGCCCTGGGCCTCGTGTTCATGGTCCTGATGCTGCAGGTTGTTCAGCCTAGCCCCTCCCCACCCCCGCCCCCTTGGCCCTCCCAACACCCGGATCCAGCCACGGGGCACCCCTCCTGTCCACACGCTGCTCCTCTGCAGCCTCCTGCTCCCGAGCGGATGGCTGGATGGCTGGACAGTAGATGGGACCTCTTAGTTCCCAGGGCAGCAGCGTCTGGTGCTGGAAGTCACTGCACTGCAGACCCAGCCCCTGTGGGTGCCCACCCCCCAGGAGAGCCATCCCCAGGTTGTTTGTGGCCATGATCTGCCTGGGCTCAGGCCTGGGGACCCCTGTGTACAGCTTCGGGTCAGACGTGCAGGCACTGTTCATGGTGGGGAGGTGTGTGAGGGTACCCCATCCACCACAGGTCAGCCCAAGGTCACGGCGAGGAAAGCTGGGCTGTGGTCCTAGACATCCCCTGCGACCCCTGTCCCATGGCCTCCCTGCAGTTTGCCGAGGCCCCTCTCTGGCCCTGGGGACCCCTGGCATTTGAGGGGGGTCCCTGATTCTGGCAGAGGGTTGCAGGTTTTAGGAACAGGGTCTTGAGCGTAAGAAGCCTGGGTCTCTGAGTACCAGACAGTCCCAGCCCCGATGCTCTCCTGCCCTGTCTGAGCTCTGGGGTCCAAGATGCTGTCCTTGGCCGGGGACCACCATTGGGCTAGGGAACCGAGGGTGGGAGGTGGCTCCTCTGAGGAGCTGGCTTGGCCTGCGGGAGCCCTCACAGCTTAGCACCTTCTGTTTTCACCGCCACCCCGCGGGCACCACCAGTGCCCCTCAGCTCCTAAGTGAACAATTTCATGGTCCCAGGCATTCCTAGGCTGACTCTAACCACAGCTCTTCACTGTCTCTGTCTCCTCTTTCTGAGGATCTCATCCAAACCCAAGCCCTAGACTGGCTGGTCCCTGTGGATCAACATGCGTCCACCCAGCACCCCTGCAGGGGAGGAGCACGGGGAGCACAGAAACGCCCCTCTTCTACCTCCCCGGGGCCACCGGTCAGGACAGGCTCCTCGGGGTGGAGGGTCACTCCTGCTGAGCCCAGGGCTAGGCGGCTGCCAGGGCATGGCCATGTGACTCCTGGTCCTCAGGACACTGGGCTGTGCCCCCTCCCAGGGTGGGGGTGCTGGGGGGACATTCAGAAACTCGCTCCTGGATCAGATCAGGGTGGACTGAGGCCCTGGGTCCCCTCCCCTGTTGAACATGCATGCTCATTGCCTGTACTTCCATGGCCCCGCAGACACGGCCCTGACAGTAACACCGCACGTGTGGAGAGTCTACCCTGGACCACACCGGCGCCTTCATCCTCCCGTCTGGTCTTTCAGGTACCGGGCACTGAGTCTTAAGCGGCATGGGCCTGACTTGGAAAGCCTGCCCTGGGGCCCGGGACTAGATACAGGGGTGTGCATCTGAGGATGGCTTCCTTACCGCTGAGCAGGGGCCGGTTGTGCCGGTAGGAGGCAGGCAGCTGGCCGACGTCCTGGGTCCGGTGGCTCATGACACGGGAGAGGTGGCCGGTGTGGCGCAGGCTGCCCACCACGATGCTGTGCAGGTACACGGGCTCAATGAAGTGGCAGAGCAGCGCGCCCTGCAGGCCCAGCACGTTCCACCTGGGGGGAGATGGGGGTCAGATCCTGGGTGCTCTGCCCGGGTGACCTGGCAGTGGGCGGGGCCTGCTCCGGTGACCCAAGGAGTTCACTGGGCTCTGGGCTGCTTTGACTTCAGGGGCCCTGAGCAGAGCATGCGGCTCCAAAATGAAAGCTGCTCTGGGTGTGTGTCGGCTTCTGCCAGCAAAGGTGACAGGGCCCTTGTCAGACTTTCTCCCAAATTCGGGTGGAACAAGTTTCCGCGTATGTGTTATTTAAGGCAGGATTCTGTGGTTTCCATTCTAAATAATGTGCTTAAAATCCACCCTCCATCCGCCGCATAAGCATCACGCAGCTAATTTCTTACATCATTGTTCTTTTCATTAATTAACATTTCTCTATGGTTAGGGCGATTATTGTGGGGCCTCCACGCCGCACATTTCCTTTCATGATTAATAAGGAGTCATTATATTTCCCTTTCCCGAAGCAGTCAATTAACACAGAATTCTTTCCATTAATTACCGAACGCTCAAACCAGCAGGCCTACCTGGAGAGCAGTCTGCTCCGGGAACCTGTGACACCAATTGCCTTAAAAAGTTCTCTTTAAATTTTATTCCAAAAACACAAGCAATTTAGCTGGCGATATTAATTTGCCTCAGAAGCATCGAGGTGAATGAGAAACATCTTTTAATCTCATGCAAGAAAAGGCAGCCATCTGGCTGGCGAGGATGGAGGCGCGTCCCCCCCTCTGTAAGTGTGGGTCATTAAAGTAATGTGCTCACCCACATAAAACTCAAGTGGAATATAAAAGGTAATATTTACACACAAACAGTTTAGTCCCACAATTTAAACAGTCATTGGTTTTATGAAACATTTACTTTAGCCTATCAGATTTGCATAACTTCACTTAAAAAAATGATTGTGGTCATTTCTGTGAGTCACATCCTGTCTCCCTGAAAGGAGTGGAGGGCTGTCCTTGGGGTTTGGTGGGCGATTTTCCCAGAGAGGTGGTGTCCGAAAGGTGTGAAGGAGAGGACATTGCTGGAGGCATGAGATGCTGGGGAGTGGACATCCCCATGGATAACAAAGCCCTTTCTCAAACGATGAGGTCAGCATTCCAGAGCCATCCGTGGACTGGCTTGGAACAAAACTGTATCTGAATGGCTCTGGCTGTGGGATTGTCTAAAGACAAACAAATTCTGTATCTGGCTTCCTCCTAATCACCTTTGCAGCAGAGACGATCAGCCTTCTCCTGGCCTGGCTATAGGAGTTTAACTTGTCCGGCCAACGCCATCGATAAAGCCAAAGTCACCGTGAACACAAACTGGAGAGTTTTCAGTTTTCTGGAGGGAATGGGAGAATACTTTTCCTCTAGTTCAAACAGTGATATCACCACAGTGTTGACAGAGAAGAAAGTTGCATATCTGGTTTCAGTGTAGATAATCCTAAAGAAATACATTAGTGTCTGTCTGTCGGTCACTGAAATGCCAGCGATACCTGAGGGGGCGATCCTGGAAAGAAGCTGGCCTCTTTAATGAGGGACGCACTCTCTGTGCCCGGAGGACCAATGGGACTGCCCTGGTGGCCCTAGCCCAGACTGCCTGCCCACACTCAGAGGGAGGGACCCCCGTGGCCTGAGATCTCAGCGCGGGAGTCCCTGGACAGCAGCTGTAACTACTTGCAGTCCATTTTTATGGAGAAAGTTTTAATCTGTTCATTTAAAGACACATTGCAATCGATAATCAAATTCAGGTGCTTAAAATTAGAAACCATATCTAAAGGAACATTAGTTCCAGAAGATTTAGACTTTTATAAGTCTCTGGACTCTGAGAGACAAGAGCTAAGACCCCCAAAACCCGTTCCCCGTCATTTCAGGAGTGGCGTTTCAGCGTTTGCCTGTGACGGAGGGTTCGGATCACTTCTTACAGCCAGGCCAGAAAGACCGGCCATGTCCGTGGGAACTGTTGATGCCCCACACCACACTGGCCTCG